GAAATATGTCCAAAGTAATTACCGAAAATAACCAATAGTACATAATACAGCTGTGGATTTGGAGACATAGAAATACCTCCAAAATACTATATACCTTTTGCCATCCTGTTTGAATGGACATGTTACCAGAATAAGGTTTTTTTCATATATATATATTTCACTAAATGTGTGAGAAATGAGAAAAAACTGTTTAAACATATCTAAAAATATTTTTGCAGCTTAATATGAGAGTATTATTTGCATTGTACTTAGCCGAATAAATGATTTTTGAAGTTCCATTTAAGAAAAAAAGTTAATACAGAGAGGGAAGGAAAGGAAAGGAAAACTGACTAGTTCAAAGGCAAGTTTACTATCATTCTTAATACAATTTTCATGGAATAAGTAAGAGGAGAGCAGTGGACAGTAATACAGGACTGAGTGGGAGCACTTGCAGTACAAAGCTTGACTGTGCTAAATGACTTTGCACAAGTCATTATTTATTTAACCTCTCTGGGCATAACTTTCTTCTTCTACAAATGAGAAAATTGGACTAGATTACTTTTAAGATCCCTTAGAGCTCTCAACCTATGCTCCTATATGGTACTGTGATTGAAAGTTATACATCTGCCTAGACCAGGTTTTGTTTTGTTTTGTTTTGTTTTTAATGGTATTGTGATGGAGAGGCAGCATGGTCTAGGAAAATGATAGTAAAAGTATATGTTGGGGCAGCTAGGTGGCGCAGTGGATAGAGCACTGGCCCTAGATTCAGGAGGACCTGAGTTCAAATCCGGCCTCAGACACAACACTTACTAGCTGTGTGACCCTGGACAAGTCACTTAATCCCAAATGCCTAGCCAAAAACAAAAAAAAGTATATGTCACATATTTATTCCAGTGCTATCTATACTACCTATTAGCTAGACCTTGGGCAAGTCATTTGTCCTCTATATTCCTCAGTTTCCCTATCTGTGAAATGAAATAGATGAACTATATTATCTCTAAGGCCTTTTTCCTCTTTGTCATTATATACTGCTTTTATTTTATTGCATAAGACTTTCATCTTTTGTGTTTCTTTTTTTAAAAACCAGTTTAAATCCCTTTTCTCTGTATTACATTGACTTATGAATTCATTTAATTCTAATCTTTTGGCATGTTTCAGTTTTTTCTATTTGCTTGTGTTCTTTTGTGGTCATGGGAATTTTAGTGAATCTCCATTCCAGTGGTAAATTCAACTGCATGTAGATATTAGGATGTTAAAAAATATAGAGAGAATTTTTGTTCCTTCAGCAAAAATTCAAAATGGCAAACTAGCAACTACTTTCCCATTTTAGAATATTATCTTTCAAGAGATTTATGAGGAAAAATAAATTTGAGGTATCATGCATATTTGTATGCCAATTATTACTAATCATAACATCAACTTTCATTTTAAGTATTAATACCCTACATAACTTTTTTCCATAATAACCCTGAGAAATGGGAGGTCATCTATTAATATTCTAATATTATAGATGGAAAATTAAAGAAACTAAGAATTTGGGGTCAACAGTTCCAACAGCTTTCTAATGGCAAAGCAGAGACTAGAATCAGTGTCTTCTGATATCTAACCTAGACATAGGGGCAGTTGGGTCATCTGGTGGATTAAGCACTGGACTTTGAACTAGGAAGCCCCAAATTCAAAACAGATACTACTTCAGATACTTAGTAGCTATATGATCATGGGCAAGTCATTTAACTTCTCTTAGCCTCAGTGTCCTAATCTGTAAAATGGGAATAAAAATAGAACCTACCTGTAAAACACTTTGTAAAAATTAAAACATCATGTAAATATCAGCTACTTTCATCATTATTATGTTTTCAGGTAGCTCCTGTTACCTTTGACCTTTTCTATCACAATCCCATTGTTGAGTCTTTTAAAGTATGGTCTGCTAGGTTGCCATTTTAAATGAATTTAATTTACTGACTTAAAGCTTTGTGGTTTTTTCCCTTTGTTTTCTTTCTTTTCTTTTTCCTTTCTTTTTTTTTTTTACCATTTCATTTTCTTCTCTGTCTTTGTATGTTGGAATGGGACGTGAACATCATAATGCCAATTCTTCCATGACAATGCCTCCATGCATGCTGTTTGGGTCTGGTCATGCTATGCATTATCCATTGCATGTAAGACAATGATTTTACTTCTGTTTACATTTTAGCATTTTGACTATTTTGGGATTGAACATTAAAAAACCTTCATACTGATATGGTGGTGTCTGTGTGGTGAAGATGATTTACTTCTTGTGACAGTATAAAAAGCTGACAGCAGTTTGACTCATCTATTTATGGCAATGGCTGGGCTTTCCAGTATTTGCATTTATGAAACAAAATATGTTGTAATTCTTCTAAGGAAATAGGTTTTCAAAACAACATACTACATTAGTTATAATGGGAGCTGAAAATGAAAAGCCATCCATCTATTATCTACTTTTTTGGCTTCTCCAATCTTGTTTATTCCAAATCAAATAAATGAAGATGCAGATATTATTTGCATAACATAGACCACTTTTCTGTAAAAATAGCAAACTTGTTAGCAATTTTAGGATTAATGAATGAAACCATCTGCTTTCTTTTCAACAGTGTAAATTATCTTTCACAAAAATCCATCTGTATCCAATGTTCTAATTTTTTTGGGATGGGACTAGTCTTGGAAAGGTCAAAGAGTTTATCCTATGAGTAAAATGCTTTCTTGTCCAGAAGGCTTTTATGGGATAAATGGATGCAGTTTATTTAGAACACACGTTCTTTTTTGTTTTTCCCCAACAAAGATCTTTACCACTTAATTTCTCCAGAGAGTTATAGCAGTAGTATGCTGGTAAATGTTTACCAACCAGCTCTTCTACTTAAAAAAATTTTTTTAAAGTATGCTTGACACACTTTTAAGTTTTATTTACATCAATATTTTTTCTCTAACATTTTAAGTGTAGACAACCTAAAATAAATAAAAAATAAAAATAAATAAAGCCCTGATTGGTAGCATTTTCTGACTTTCTAGAGGTTAATCGTCACACTGAAAATTTAAAATCAGCTCTAATGAGCCAGTTCAAGCTGGCTCAAACACATCCCTGCGTAGAAGTGAAACAGCTGTGATCTATACTTACAGAATACTGCTGTTTGGGAAATCTGTTATCAGCTCTAGCTTTCCTTTTACCTTCAAAAAAAAGCCCTACCCTCTTATTAAGTCCATTGTGGCTTATAGTCTTTTCAAATTTGTATGAGTTTTGTTAATAAATTGGAAAAGTTATACCTGTTAATATTTTTAAAAAACCATTTCTGGTTCTATAGTTGGTAAAGCCCTAAATAACATTTCTTTATAACTATTATTTGATATGGCAGGCACATACTACCCTCACACATAAATGTTTCTGTGTTAAACAGTTATTAGTAGAGACTTAAATTTCTTGAAAGTAGACTGTCTCCCTCCTGTTTTTGTATCCTCAAGGCCTAATACATTACCTGATATAACGGGTTCTTAATGAATGCTCATTGATTATCAAATAATATATTGTTTCATTATTAATGACCTTTAATGGTCTCCAGTTCAGGTAAAATACTCTTTAGACACACAAACTAGGAATTAGCTTCTACAGCTGCAATATAAATAAAACTGCTATTATAAAAGCAAAGGGTAATTTTCTATTTGCTGTCTCTTACTGTATAAATTATTCAATGTTTTGTCTTTAGCTCATTTTGTAGATGTCTTTCTCCTTCTCTCTGTCTCTTTTTTGTTATTCTCGTCCTCTCTGTCTCTCTTTCTCTATGTGTGTGTGTATAGCTAAAGACATCCTGTCTTTGCCTGTGTGTATACATGCACACATATGTGAAATGTGATGATAAATTAATTAGGCTGATGCCATTGCCATATAAAATTATTCTCTTTGCTTTAAACCACACTCTGTTAGTATACATTTGTTATTTGTCTTTTGAGGATCTGTATTTGTTAAAGTAATTTTAAAAATAAAGTCATCCTCATCTATAGAGAAATAAGTTATTGTTTCTTTCCCTCTTTGTTGTGTGTATATATGTGTGCATACATATACACATATATATACCTATACACACATATGTTCATTTTACCCAAAACATACTACAGATTGCTTTAATGAAAACTGTTAAGCTGAAAAAAATGCCACAAATGTGTCATGACTATCATCATCACCATCACCGGCTCCACCACCAGTAATCATTTGCTGAATGCCTGTTTGATAAGCATTTGAGTTTGCAATGTAGTTATAGATAACATTGTTCCAATTTTGGGTATGGTGAGTAGATAGAAAAGTAAATCATAGAACAAAGATATGCATGTAAAATGATGTCCCCAAAACTATATAAATTATTTCTGCTTTTATGATGACTTGCTCGCAGTATATGGAATTTGAATAGAGAAATATTACCAGGCACAGACTTTTTTTTTAAACTAGCGTTAATTAATGAATTGTAGCAACTTAAAGCTTTTGTGCTTTTCCAGTAAATGTGCAACAGAATTTCTTTCTCCTTTATTTATTCATAGATTCTTTAGCTCCCTTTGAATTTCAATTTATTTACTGTTCATTTGTCAGAGTAGGACTCATTATGCACTGTAGCCCTAATATGGCCTTTGGTTGATTTATAAGAGAAACCAACCGCTATATACTGTAAATTATCTGAGTAGTTATTTCTGTCCCATTCGTCCATCATGGACTACACATTAAATACTTTGTTCTCTCAGAACTTGGGTATTATGAATGAAATATTGGAAAAATACTAAAAATGTTTCCTTTTCAGGATATGATAAATTAAAAATATAGCATATTTAAAGCTCAGGATCACTAGCAATGATCAATTACAAATTCCTATTATATGAAAGGATATATGCTTAGATATTTATTATATCAGACATTTTAATACATTTAAATTCAATCTGAATAACTTCTCAAACTATTGCAGAAGATCCACAATGTAATTATTGCAAAATGATATGTGCTTAGTACTTCCTATTTTCTGCTGTAGAATCCTAAATCTCAGGAGCCTGTCACCTTGGATTTCCTGGATGCTGAACTGGAAAATGATATCAAAGTGGAGGTGAGTTGAACTAATAGTTGAGAATGGAAGCCAAAAGATAACTGTACTAAGTAATCCTTAGTTTGTGCTTTTTCTTTCAAAAGAGGTAGTGCTCAATTTCTGTGCCCTCTTAAGTATAAGTTCCCAATAAAAGAAACACATACTTTCTCAAGAAGGGGAAGAAATATCTTTTACCTTTTCATCCTTCTTCCCCAAAGTGAATACATAATAATTCTCTTATAATAAACTTGTTTTTTTTTTTATTTTCTCCCAGTCTTGTATATGAATAGTTAAGCACGCACCCTATATGAAACAGTAGAAGGAACGTGGGCTTTGGAATGAGAACATGGGTTCAAATCTAACTATGCTACTGAGGAACTGTGTGACCTTGGGCCAATCTCTCTGAGCTTTAGTTTCCTCATCTGTAAAATGAAGGGTTTGGAACAGATGACATCCAAAATTCATCCTAACTCTGAATCTATGTTGCTTTTCATTATCTTCCGCCAAGATGAAAATGATGTTTCACTCTTTTGAACTCTTCTAATATTTAGTACCTATTTTATAATACTAATCATATTCTATCCATTAGAAACAGTCCTTGGCAACAATGCCACAGGATATGGTATTGAAATAGGCCATTCGTTCTGATCTCCAGATGCCTTTTGCTCATCCAGTCTTACTTTATAAAGTCCCTCCTTACTTCCCTAAGCAAGGAAAGCCAAGATTTGCAACCTGGCATCAGTAAAAGATTTCTGGCATCACTGGCTGTTTCTTACACAGTATGCAGAGGATTAGGCAGGATTTTATATGACATGTCATTTTTATCACTTAAGTTGTAGAAAAGTCATATCTTTGTTACTAGATTGGAACTTCCTTGAGGACAGGGGTTGCATCTTATTCTTCACTGTTTTGTGAACAGAGACTTAACAGATACTACAAGTGCAAGGTTTTCTTAAATTGCCAGGATTTTTAAAAACCTGAAGAAAGATCCATCCCTAAGACAGCAAAGTTGGCTGATTTCCCCCCCTGGTTAAACAGATAATTTTATTTGGACATACTTTGATGCCTCTTTGGATCTGTGTGTTGTTTGGATCCCATTGACATCACCAGTGAAGTAGGTCCTAGCCTCCATAAACTGTGAGATACTAACCCTCCAACATACAAAGTAGTTACTTCTAGATTTCTTGGCATTGCATGGATACCCATGAAATAGGCAGGCTACCCATTGACTGGGGTATCTCTTGCTCTCACTTCATGACTGCTCCATCTCTTTTTCTAGTCCTACATCTCTGATGTAATCCTTTGCACCAGTTCTTTGCAGTTTGTCACTGAAAATATTTTGTTGCCTACAGATTCAGGCTATGATATTTTCTGTTGTCTTTTGGGATGCCACGGGTTTAACTCTTCAGTCTATGGTATTCCAAAAATCAAACATACCTTAACACCAAAAGAACAATGATATTTTTAAATGACATTTTTACATGTGACCTTAGTTATTTTTGAAAAGTTAATGATATTGTCTTTTGAGAGAGGCATAAAAATCTTGTGGCCTTTCCAATTGGTCCTTTTTAATATCTCTCCATCCCTAAGAAAATCTTTAGGGAAACCTAGGTGGTGTAGTGGATAAAGCTCTGGCCTTGGAGTCAGGAAGACCTGAGTTCAAGTCTGACCTCAGACACTTACTAGCTGTGTGACCATGGGCAAGTCACTTAACGCCGATTGCCTCACCAAGGGGAAAAAAAAAGTTTCTTCCTAAGAAAATCTTTGTTGCCCCTACTGTTATTCCAGTTTTAATATTTAAAAGATGTAAAATTGGAGGTAAACTTACAAAACTTAGTTTTGGGGAAAAAGTGTTCTCTTATAAGCTACCCATGAAAAATATATTAACAAAACTGTTTATAACAGAAAAATATATACTTGTTCAGTTGTTTCAGTTGTATCTGGCTCTTTGTGACCACATTTGGGGTTTTCTTGGCAAAGATACTGGAGTGGTTTGCCATTTCCTTCTCTAACTCATTTTACAAATGAGGAACTTGGGCAAACAGGGTTAAATGACTTGCTGGGTCACAAAGCTAGTGCTGGATTTTAACTAAGGAAAATTAGTCTTCCTGGTTCCATGCCCATTGCTCTATCCACTGTGCCACCTAGATGCCCTATTTCTTACTAGCTAAACATATTTCCCTTCTAGCTAAACATATTATCCAACCAAATGTCATGAATAATACTTTTGCTAGTTACATTTAGATTAATGAATGACCAAATAGACTTGGTATTTGTCCTCCTTCAATAGTTTAAAATGTCAATGTAGCATGACAACTATCTTTCATAAATCAGTCTTCCAGAAACAACTGCTGGTGCTAGGTCAGCTATGAGAAATTGTGCTTTATTTATTCTGAGTCTGATCAACAGATCTGCAAAGACTACTTTCAATAAGCATAATTTGTTGACAATGTACATGGAATGACAAAAGATTGTTTTGCTTTTCTTTAGATTAGAAATAAAATGATAGATGGAGAAAGTGGAGAAAAGACATTTAGAACATTGGTTAAATCTCAAGATGAGGTAAGGCCTTTTTTATTAAAGAATAAGTAAACATAATGAAAATTAGTTATATATGTTGAGATTTTGGGGTATATTCATACAGTATATGTGATTTATGTATTTGAGATTTGTAAATATAATTTTTAAACTTATTTATATACTATTAATACACTATAAACATGCATGCTAAAAGCAGACTATAATAATGTACACTATAAGACAAACATGATATCATATCCTAGCTGAGATTTTTATGAAAAAAAAAATTTCCTTTTGACATATGTTAACTTTAGAGGTATTTTTCAAGGATTTCTTTTAAAATTTTTTAAAATGAGTTGAAATGTTCATATTTTTTATATGTAAAACTGCTTTGCTGTTTATTTTAATGCCATCATCAATTAGCATCTCCTTTTAAAAAATATAGATGATCACAAAATTCTGTGTCCTTAAGCAACATAATACTCAGTAAGCCCTTATTTTGAATCAGTGATTTGTGGTTACAAAAAAAAAATCATGTTCTTTTTCTCATTTGATTCTTACCATCCTCTGATGTAGGCAATGCTCATATCATTAATGTCATTTTGTAGATGAGGAAAGTAGGACTTTGAGAAGTTAAATGACTTGACTAATGGCACAGAGATAGTAAGTGGTAGAGAAGAAAGATGAACCATTATTTTCTGCCAATTACATTCTCTTTTAATTACCCAAAAATAATATTTGACCAAATTTACCAAATTTCACCAAATAATTTCACCAAAATTATTTGATGAGCAAACATACAAGCTGGTTCAATTCATTAAGGATCTTAAAAGGATTTTTATTTTTGTTTGAAATTTTCTGATTTCTTGACTTATCTACACCTCATGGGAGAATAGTTTTTTATTAAATATGTTTTTGAAGATACTCTATTTAGATAGAAATAAATGCTTTTTTAAGGGAAGACAACTGGAATAGGTCAATGGGGGTGGAATATTCAGTTTCCTGCCCCTCATTTCTTTCAAGTATATCTTACCCTAATTATCCTAGTTATCAGATATGCCCACAACCAAGATGATGGGAAATTTTGAAAGTTCAGTTTGCTAAGTAGAGGGGGGTGTTAACATGGGCCAGGGGGCACTCTGGTTCTTAAAAGCTGTAAGGCTGCATTGTTTGATAGTGTAGTTAGTACTGAGTACTTTGGAAGCAACAAAGGATTCTCATGTGAAGGTCCACTCATTCCTAGACTCTTTATAGATAAAGCCCTTTTCTTTTAAAATAGGGGTATGGTTCAGTTAATAGAATCAAATCAAGGTTCCCCTCTCCCTGCCCCCCCCTCCCCACAAAGTGAGTCCTATAAACAGAATCCATTTCAGTGGCTGGTTCACCCTTGAGAGACATTAGATGACTCCTTATCCCCAGAGCCCAGAGACTAACATGGTAGTCCTTCTTAGATAGAGTATTCTTTGTTTGTTGGACTTGTCTTTAACCTCCATTTCAAGACACAGGGAAATTCCTTAATTTGCTTTCATTTTCTTTTGTCAAGTTCAAAATTAAAAATGTTACACAATCCCTTATCCTATCAACAAAGTAATAAAAGGCACCCCTGGCCATTCAAAACTTCAGCCAAGCATAACTTTTAAGTCCAAGTTATAAGATTGTGAAGAAATCTGTTTTAGAGTGGCCACGTTGAAAGATTTGTGACAGTGGTTATACTTAGGTTTTGGCTCTAAGTGATTTATATACTTTGTAATGAAACTTACTTAACAGTGACTATCCTTTCTGAATCACAGAGAATTGCTATCCAAAATAGATAATCAGGTAATAGGCTTGCGTTTTAAAATTTTATTTCCATAAATGCTTGAATTCTCTTATATTCCTCTACCTACACACTGGATATAGTAACTTTAAAAGAAAATCAGAACTCTTTCAAGGCCATATGAGAATTCACTATTAGAGATTCTAAGGTCAGAGGGCTATTGCTCCCTCTCTTAGCCAGGCCTGACGTGTTCTGCTTTTCCCTTCCCTGCCTGGCTTTCTCTCTTCAGCCACACAGCTTTTTTGGCATGATCAGTTAGTTGCAACAACAAGCTGCCTGTGCAGAGGGGAGAGTGTAGAAAATCAAATTTAACCTTACATTGTTCCTTCACAAAGTCCTTGTGAAATAAGTATACAAGACCATTATTTTTTCCTTCTTTGTCTTGGGTTTTCTAAGCTCATATTTATTGCAAGATAGCCCCTATTCTCAAAAAGATTATGTATTCATTCTGCTGAAACTGAATTTGTAAACTTCATTAGAAGACAGGTAAGCCAATTTACAGTTTACTGCAAAAAATATCTGTGCCATCTAGAATAGTCCTAGGCACATTGTAGATGCTCATTAAACTTGACTTATTGTACTATATCTGGAAACAGACTCATTTCTAAGCATGGCCTTTAACAGTGTATACAATAATACATTTTTAGGGTTGGAGATGACCTCATAGCATATCTAGTCACCATATATTTTATAATGAAAGAAAATAAAGCTTAGAGATATTAGGTGACCTACCTAAGGTTATGCCCTGTTTAGGGTAGAACCAGGACAAGGACCTGGAAAAGGCAGCATAGTATACAATAAAGATACCCAAAATTTGCAAGGTCTTCTAGGCTCAATTATGAGATTCCAAAGATGAATGTCAGCATTGTCTCTGAATTGTGTGTGAACAAGTCCTTCAGAATCTATACAATTTTCCTCTTTAAGACAGGAAATTGTAATCTTATTTCATCTTTCAGTGTTCATATATTAAGCAGTGAGCCCTTGGAAACATTTTAACTTGTGAGATGACTATTCCGCATGTATCTTAATACTATCTCCCTAGGTACAGTTAAGTTTGGAACATTGCCTAACACAAGCTTTCTCAAGGAAAGGACAGAAGCCTATGTTCAAGCATCTTAGTCCCATCTACCTGCTGTGCAGGAGAAAAATGTGTGGGATAAAGATTTATGAATATATAATAAAATTCATATTGGATTACAGAAAATCATTTTTATTCTGCTGCTTTAAATGGATTTCGATGTTTATTCTGAGATGAGCATATGTGTCATGAGAATTTAAACATCTTATCCTAGTACAATTGAATGTCAACAGAGGAAATCTAGCAGACTGTTTGACTTTATTGTGGGCATCCCCTTCAATCGCCCTAAGCCTGTAATGCCATTAATATGCCACAACTGGAGCTCAATTACAATATTTCAAACAAGGTATAACTGAAGTTGGTCCAGTGAGGAGCATTATTTCTATTCATCATTTCTTAAGAACATCAAGACTAGGCTATATTCAAAGTCTAGCAATTTAAAAACCTAGTGGTTTCTAAACTGAAATAGCAGTTAACATGGAGGCTTTAACTACCATCCTGTTTTATTGGCACCTGAGCACTGTACAAGATTATTGACTTTCCCAAAGACAATCAAGTCAAAACTACCAGCATATACATATATGTATACAGCATATACATAAAATATGTATATATTTGACATTATTTGGGAACCAACATAACTGTAGCCTACCTCTAAGTCTCTAGATTTCTTCTGTCTTACAAGAAATATTGGTTTGCCAGGGATTCTCCTTTAGCCACAAATATACATTAAAACTGGATCTTTGAAGGATTTTATTGATTTTGTGATGGGCATAATTTCTTGGCCTGACCATCCAATGCTTTTATTGTTTAAAGGCAGGGAGATTACATAATTTTACTGAATTGGGGAAATAACCCACTCCTCATTCTTGTTATTTAGTTGCATTAAAAAATAAAATTCTTTCTATATCTGTCTATATCTATCTTTCTGTATCTGTTACTAGTCATTGTATTTCCTATCTCTAATGAAAGAGCTTTAGATACCTTTTTTAAACTCAGTTTGAAGCAATTGAATCTGTCCTTTGGGGTAGCTTCACCATTATCATCATCATCATCATCATCATTATTACCACCAAAATAGAAATGTGTTTACAACAGACTTGGAATGACTAATCACTGGCCATCAACTATTCAACTTAAATGGAAATGTAGCCTATTCCTAAAAATATTCTAGCATGACCAAAATTTCGAAGACTCCAATGATATGTCATCAATGCCAATATTTCACTGTTTTTATATGTGACTTTCAGGAAGTCCTTACCTGAAATCTCAAACTTATTATAATTTTCCATTCCCTTTCCTCATTACAACACTTATTATTTTGAAATTATTGATGAAAGATTTCAACAAAAGGATCTGGTCATCCACCCTTAAAAAAAATAAACCTCTAAGAAACAGAAGCTAAGTGAAAGTAACTAAAACCTTGGTCAAGAAGAGAGGCAGGGCCATTACTTTCTAATATGAAGGTACATCCCATATATTTTACAATTTTTCTTTTATTTTCTCTATTAACACCTACTAGTCTTGAACAAATGTAGACTGAATCAAATCACACATAAACAAAGATATAGTTAAAAAACTAAGAAATATGTCGGTTAATATTGGGATTTTTCTCTTAATACATCTCAGCATCAGGCTTTAATAATTGTGTTAAACTTTTTCTAGCGCTATATTGACAAAGGAAATAGGACATATACATGGACTCCTGTCAATGGCACAGATTACAGGTAATTAATTCTGTTTAAGTTTTATAAATGGAGATATCTTTAAAAATAGAATTTTCAAAATGTAGATACAGTATTTATAATCCTGGATTTTTTGTTTTAAAAAATCTTTCTTAAGTATACCTTATGCTATCCATATGGCTTAAGAATGTTTTTTTTCTTAATAGAAATTGAATGAAAGTAGTATTTCCTAACAACTCTACAAGAACTGGGGATAATAACTGTATCTATCTCATAGGGTTATTGTAAGAATAAAACGAGATAATGTGTGTATGCATATGTACACACCCTTTGCAAACTGATATAAATCTATATAATACAACATAAATGTTAATTATTAAGATCTGTAGTAGTAGTAATAACTTCTAAATACACATCAATGTATGGATACTGGGTAATTTTCTAATTTAGAAATAATATGCTATCACTATTTTAAGTCTGTATGCTAGTATAAATAAATATAAAGAGAATCAGACTATGTGATTCTCTGATTTTTCTCCACAGGATTTTCTGCTTTTAAATTTTCACTTGAGTTTATTAAATAGTGGTAGCAAATGAACATTAAAACCAAGCCAGGACAGACCCAAATTATGAAAGACTTTAAAAATTCAATCTTATTCCCTTTCTTACTCCTTGTAGTAACACTACCTTTCTTGTTCTCTCACTCAAAGGGTGATTGATGCACATGGGCCTTGGAAAATTGTATTAAATTCGACATATCTAATTCTGCTGCAGCCAAACAGGAACAGCTCGTATTTCAAACTAAATTCAAAAGCATGCAAATTATATTTCTGTATGAAAACATAAACTATAATGGAATCAACGTCCACTTTTATTTAAAAAAATAACACGCTCAGATGTGCACAAATTATGAGCAACTCTGTCCATAAAATTATTATATCTTTACACCATTCCTCACTTATATACCTTTTAAAATAAATGTCTAAGAAATGATTTACCAATGTTTTGACACTACACTGAGCCACAAATCCTGTGGCAAAGTAGGTAAGTCTTAGTTTGACTCTTCCAAGGATAGAATAAAATATGATCATGGAAAATAAACTAGCTATGAAGTTAATACACCATGCCAAATTCTGTCTTTTACCTAAAGTTGTAAAATTGTGAAAAAAAAGAAAAAGGTAACAGTTAACTCCCTTTTCCCCAAAATACTACCTCACTATACAGTGATCTACCCATGTGACAGGAAGACCTGAGTTCAAATGTGGTCTCAGAAATATACTGTGTAACCTTGAGAAAGTCAATTAATCTCTATCTACTTCAGTTTACTCAACTGTAAAATAGCACCTCCCTCTCAAAGTAGTAAAAAAACCAGATGAAATAATATTTGTAACATAACATAGTGCCTAGCACATAGTAGGCATGTAATAAATGCTTGTTTTCTTCCTCCCTTCCTTGTGTCTCTCTATAACATTCCCTACACTCTCTCTCTCTCTTTCCTCTCAACATGTACATGGTCACCAGCTATTAATTAATTCTTTCCTTCACCAGAGTTCCTAGCTCCTTATACTCATTGATGCCTTTGCTAATTGGGGAAAAAAAAAAAGAGGTGATAAAACCTAGGATGCCACCATTTACCAAAGATGTTTTTGTGATAAACTCACATACCATGAGACTTTAGTTTGAAAAATATCCCTGTACCTTTATAGATTAACAAATTAGAATTACTGACACAGGATTTGCTGTATTGGTCAACCCAACTTCAGTATTATTTATTCCCAGCAACATTGTCAAACAAATGATTGATTTGGAGCCGAAACCTGGAATCAGTTCATAGATTTGCCGCTTTCTACCTTATGACTTTGGGCAATTCCATTAACCTCACTGGACCTCAGTTTAGATTCCTTTAAATTTAGTTGGATTAGATGACCTCTACCATTCTGTCTGTCTCTAAATCTGTGATCTTATGGTTCTACACACTGTTGCCAGAGTAACTTTCTTAAAGCATAGCTCTGAACATATCACTCCTCTATTCAAAAACTTTTAGTGATTTCAAAAGCCTTCTGAACTACATGGAAAGTCACAGCATAGTATTCACCTCCCTGTCCTTTGGCCCAAATCTACCTTTCTAGCCTTAACATCACACTACTCACCTATCTGATACTACATTCAAATCACCCTGGAATACTCAGCATTCAGTAGTGAAGAGAGTACCAGGCCTGGAGTTAGGAAGACTCATCTTCCTGAGTTCAAATCTGGCCTCAGACACTTGCTAGCTGGGTGAACCCTGAACAAGTCACTTAACCCTATTTGCCTCAGTTTCCTCATCCATAAAATGAGCTAGAGAAAGAAAGGGCAAATCACTCCACTATCTTTGCCCAGAAACTCTCAAATTGAGGTCGCAACGAGTCAAACACAAATGACAAATAACTCAATAACATGCTTTCCTACCTCAACATCTTCATTCATGTCATCTGCTCACTGTGGAATTGCTACTTCCTTCCCTACTTCCCTCATCTACTCCTGCCAAGCCCTCCCCATCCTTCAAGATTTAGTTCATGAATGACCTTCTTCATGATGTCAGCTTTCATTCCCTCATCAGTCATACTAGATGTGATTTTTCTTCAGATTCTGAATGCCCATAGCACTGCTTTTTACTCTCTTACTTCACTTATAGATAATCATAATCATAATAATTTGTGCCTGGAATTTTGCTAAGTGCTTTATAATTTTCATCTCATTTGATCCTCATAACAACTCTTCGAGGGAGGTGCTATTATTATCCCCATTTTATAGATGAGGAAATTGAGACAAATGGGAGTTAAGGGACTTATCCAGGGTCACACAGCTAGTAAGTTGTCTGGGGCCAAATTTTAACTCAGTTCTTCTTGAATCCAGGCCCAGTACACTACCCCTGTGCTATTACCTAAGAACAAAAAATGTATATTTTTAATGTTTCTAATATTGACAGTAGCTAGCACAGTAAGGCACATATAGTGGTTGCTTGATAAATATCTATTGCATGAGTGAATATTAATTCAGGTATAAACTGTGATTTAGGCAACTTCTAATCTCTGACAAATTGTCAAACTGTGAAAAGTGCAGTGGATCTACCATTGTTATTAAGGGAATTAATTATATGCTAATTTCTAGAGAGCTAATGGCATGGGGTTGTCTTCAAGAAACTTAGAAACTAATCACCAGGGAAACAGACCTGGAAATTCTGACTCCTGAAATGTAGTTTCTTTTCTTTTTTTTCTTCATTGCTTCTCCATGATCAAGAGCCTTAAAGAGGAAACATGCCAAAGCAAATCTGACTTTTCATAAGAGAGGACGTAACCCAAAAGCTAAAAAGTATCTTAGCCTATCGAAGACTGCATAAAATGGGAGAAAACAGAAAACAAAACCAAAAAAAAAAACAAAAAACAAAAAAAAACAAAAAGCAAAAAATACCTGCAAGGGTTTTTGATGGAAGCTGTGTTCATGGTGTGAAGTACTAGCACCATGTCACAGGCTTTAGTGTGAATAACAAAAAGGTGTTCTGCTTCAGTAAGAAGAAAAATATTTGCAGATCAGACAGATAAAGTTTATTGGGATGAACACTTAGCTGTACCTAGGTTATTATATTTCTTTATATCTTGCCCTAAAGATGTGCAGGTTTTCTCTTCCATTAAGAAATATTTATTTAGTACTTAAAAACTTTGACATACTGTACTAGGCACTTAGGAAATACAACAGTCATAAAAAAGAGAGGGCCTTTTTTTTAAATGTCAGAAATCGTGGTCAACAGTTGTATGAAGAAAGCGTTGTTGAGTGGAAAGCCATTCCCCCCCCACCCCCACTCTGTTTGATTTAGTTAAAAATGCCAGTGGGAAAAAAAATCAGACTCCGGTATTTAGATCCCAAGAACAGAGCTTAAACAAAATGCTCCCTCTGGTGGCATTTTATCTAAATTACAGGCATAGTGTCTAAAGATTATAAAGAGCCTCTCTGGACTGAAAGCATAAACTTTTACAGTGAAGGTGAATATAAGATAGTAACATCACTGACTGTAGGGTTTTTTATCCATTTTGTTTGCTCCCAGAGCTACATCTGACCTGAAATGGAAAGATCTAAATTCTGCAGCATTTTTCTAAATGTCGTATCTTAACTAATCAGTGAAGATACAGATCAGAGATTGTAACATGAGCTCCAATATATTCTTAGCATGTCTGTTTAAAACTTTAATAGTGCTTCTCGTGGGCCTTCATAATATTGGCTGCAGTCGATGAAAAATAATCTAAATCCACAAGAGTCACATTGTAGTAGCCTTATTAGGCATAAGGTTATAGTTTTAATTAGTAGCTTCTGTAAGCAATATATGCTAATGGGCAAGCCAAATTGTTCTAATTTCCCTAGAGAGGAATAGGAGGGAGATTATCACCAAATATTCAGTAATTCTTCTCTGTACTTTATAAATGGCAAGTGAATCATTAAGGGTCATCTTGCTTCCAGACCAACTGCAATGCTTATTTTCATTTTAATTTCTGCTGCTACATATAGGAGGAACTTACCTATAAAAATGAAGCAGGGGGGAGGATTTTCATTAGTGTTTTATTCCTCTGACCTTTTTCCTTGAGGAAGGTTTATGAAATCATTTCATGATTAAGAAGGGTTTAGGAATTAGAGTGAGCATATACTCATGATAATATCTTGCCCTCCTAATTATGCTGTAACAAGTAAATGATTACCATTGCTCCTCTTTGAAGTTTAGAATACAAATGACCTCAATATTTCTAACCTCTATGTTGGCAAACACAGGGTTTTATATATAATACTAGGAATTACCCAAAGAAAGAAGAATTAAATTTAAATTTTCTGTTGTTTTCCATGTTTGTATTAACTACAATATGATTATGCACAGTTAAAATTAGAGGTGAAGGATTTGATCAACATTTAGGTCTTGTGAAAGAAATTATATATACCCTTTTCACATGAGTAAGGACCTTATCCTAAGATTGGAATTGGCATTGTGTGACAGAAAAGCAAAAATTCTATTTAACTCACCACCATGTAAGTGGATAAAAAAAAAAAATACTCACCCCCAAACAGTTCACTGATATACAGCAGAAATAACCAAAATAGTCTGCAACTGGCCATCTGAAGCCCAGGCCTGCGCGTAACTCCAAATCTTAGAGCTTGAAGTCATCTTAGAGGATATTTAGTTTAAGCTTTCCACTTTACAAGTCATGAAACAGTCTTAAAGAAATCTAAGTAATTTCCACTCAAGTATCAGAACTAGTTGTTTCAGAGACAGCTTTAGCTCCCAGATTCCTTGATTGCTACTGCAAGTCTTTCTGATATCACATCTCATTGAACTGTGTGTTTCTAAATAAAGTTATAGACTCAAGACATTTTATTCACAGGGGGAATAATCAATGAATTTAGGGATTTTTAAATAGGAACATTTGCAAAAAGCTTATGGGAAGAGGGGAATTTGAAAGGGACCTCAATTATTCTGCTTGAAATTGGTTGTCCAAGGAATTTTGGAGGGACCCACATTTGCTTTCTGACATAAAGTTTCTGTCTCCTTTTTTCAGGAAAATTAAAATTCATGTAACATTGCAGTTTTTGCAGTTAGAAGCAAAAAACTGGGGCTTTAGGGCAGACGTGGCCAACAAAAATTAACCAGTAGAGGCAATCGAACCATGAGAATTGGATGTGTAAGTGTGCATTTGACAATTATATAAAACATCCTACCATTTGGAAAAAATTCCAAGGAAAAAAACCGGCAATTAACATCTATAAGACAACACTGAACCAAGTTCTTTCCCTCACGAGAACGTGAGTTCCTTGAGGCAAAGGACTTTGTCTTTATATACCCAGAATTAAGCTTATAATATCGGGCATATAATAAGCACTTAATAAAAGCTTATTGACTAATTGACTGACTTAAGTGAGCAGCCAATTGGTGGGTCTTTTTATTTTTTTTTTTTAAACAAGTAATAGTACTTAGGCTTTGGTTTACATCTTCACTATAGGCCATGCCCCTACAAGGTGCCAAGTATGGACTGGGGCTCAGCATCCAATATAGGACTAGGTCAACCACAGCTACTCTATATAGTGTAGTAATTGCTTACATTTACATTATGCTTCTTATTTTGCAAAGCACTTTGATCACGATAACCCTGTAAGCTGGGTAATATATTTTTAATTCTCACTTTCTATGAGAAAACTGAAGCTCACAAAAGTTAATGAATGAGCTGTCCAAAGTCACACATATCTTAAAATAGACCAAGTCAAAAACCCTTCTAAAGTCCACTAAGGAAAAGAATCCAAAACTAATCTGTCATCTCAGGAAATCCTAATGACTAAAGGCCTCAAAGTCACACAGTTGTCCCTACAGACTCTCTCTTGTGTAATCTAAACCATAGAAAAGATGTGTTGGAGCCTTCCTTGGCATCAAACTAAACCACTGGTCCAAAGGAGCCCATTCTAAATGTTATTTGAAGGAAAAAAAAAGTAGCACTTTGAAACCTCCAGATAAGTAACATTTTAGTGAGATAAGCTTTTGAGATATTATTTTATTCTGTTAAACCACCTGTTACATAGCCTGAGAAAATTATGGAAAAAAACTTTTTGGTCAAAAGGTAAGCTCCTGCTGTTTTGTATAGAAAAAAACTTATGAATGTAAATTTTTCTGATTGCAAAAACCATCTTAAGGTTAAATTCTATAATGGTGCACAATGTAACCTCATCCTAGACTGACTTTTTTAAATTCAATATTTTAAACAGAAATATCAATTAAAATAAAATTTTTTTTTAAAAAAGGAAACTTTACTTCAACCCCACTAATGTCTACTCCTCATTGTTCTATATGGTGCCAAAAGGGAAAAATTAATTAAATATTATTTGCTAAATCCTCTTTTGTGGTTTTTATCTCCAGTTTCCTTGTCAAAGTGCTTAATGTCTATAGAATGTAAGCTCCTTGAGGGCAGGAACTGGTTCATTTTTGTCTTTGTATCCCTAGTGCCTATCATAATGCCTGGCACATAATAGGTGTTTAATAAATGCTTGTTGAATGAATGTTTAATCTTTACTCCAACAAGGAAGGAGTGGTAGCAGATCTTTGGATTCTCCACTCAGTCCACTGTGTCTCTTTGTTTTGTTTTTCTTTTGTTTATGCTTCTCTTGTTTCTATTGCAGTTTGGCCTTGGTATTACCAACCTACAGTTTTTACTATATAAAAGCCAAAATAGAAGAGACAATAACTCAGGCCAGATGTAAGTACTGTGAAAGAGACTTCAGGGTCTGATCATTATCTCCTAATATCAGATTTTGGAACACATTTAGCTTATAGAATACATATGGAATACATAAAGCTTATATATTTCAGTAGGTGTTATTACCAAATCTATAGCAATGATTCTAACCCATTCCAAACATGCAAGGAACAAGAAATATTCTACATAGATAGAATATGAGCAGGTATTCCAGTTTCACTGGTCACCCTTCCCACCCTTCCCCGCCTTGCTATGTGCTTATAGAATCATTGCCTTGCTGTATCCTCTGTTGCTGTCATTTTAAGGGTCTGCTTATGGCATTAAATGTTTCACATGCTAAATACTAACGTAAACTCTACTCATAGTAATGTAGTAAAGCTTTTTTTTTGTTTGTTTGGTTTTGCATTTGGCAATGGTAATATTGTGCTTCAAATTTTATACTTTGCTTGAATAGTTAAATAGTAATGGCCTTTGGCTTTGGTTTGCAGATAAGCTTTGCTGTCATGTCTTCTAAATTATAATATATATGAATATCTCCAATAATTTGACTGGATAAGATTTTGTTTAAGCAGCTTTCAGAATGTAGTATTAATTAATGGTACTTTTGCCTATGCTATATTCTTATCCATAGTTGTTTTGATTGTAACTACATTTAGTTAAGTAAAAATGGCCATCATATCCTCTTAGCCTGTTTCAAGTATCAATACTAATGATAAAATGTGTGTTCAGAAAATTTTTTTTTAAAAAACTGCTTATCAATTACTCCTAACAAATAAGCTCCAATTTCTCTCACTTCTCTAGTCAGCATCCCATGCCTTTCCTTGCTTTGTGTACTCCATACTATTAGTTGGAAAAACTGCATCTTCTATAGTCACTTGATGGGTACTAGATATGATGGTCTTTTAGCAACCAGCAATTTTGCATGAGTTATTTCTTAACTTAATGAAAGTGGGAGTAATTAGTGGAATTTTAATAATTAATAAATGCTTCTATTTATAGACTTATATTTCTTAGTGTTGCACTTGCATCTAATAACCTGCAAAACAGACCCTTGAAATAGCCACAGTACATAGAGGGTACTTTAGTGATAAGTGACAGTACATACTTTCCAGTCTTCAAAGATGTTTGTCTTTTTTCCAGACTACAGCTGTACATAAATGAACCTTTGATCTATGCACAATATTTTTATTCAAGAAGCTCATTGAATAAAATATTGTTTGTGACCCCTTTTGCTTTACCCTCTTTTTTTTGTTTCCTGGCTTTCTCTTTCTGATGGATTTTCACAGCAAAAAAAGTCAAAGTGAAGGGCAAGTATCTTCTTGTTGATCAATTTCTTTCCATTTAGTGCAGTTGAAATTTTCCATTTATATCTCCATTCCTATTGGATACTTTCCTCTGTGCTCCTCACTTGTTAGATTCTCCCACATGAACATTGCCTATCTGATGTAATAAAAGGGGGTGGAAGGGATATGCTTGTGTCTCCCTAAGTGACCTATTTTACATTCACATTGTCATTAATTTCCATTCTGTGGGGTTTTATAATTCTCCATGTTCTGGTTCATGTCATTGATAAAGTATGTTATGGATTCATTGGTAATATTAGTTTATGCATGAAAGCCTTTTTAAGAAACTAAAGTCATGATAAAATTTTATGACTTCTTAAAGGAAATAAAGACCTAGCATTTTTATAAATTTCACTTCTATAAGATCTTGTTTGTATGATGCTTATTTAATGTAAAACCTTAAGATTTAAAAGTGCACTAAAATATGGATGCTTCCATTATTTTATTACTCTATTAAAAGTATAAGTACTTTCTCCTTGTATTATGAAACTGACCAATGTAATCCCTGAAGTAGTTAAAATAGAAGAAGGTGAGTAGATTAATCTTTCAATATACTATTTTGCTTACTAGGCAATTATTTTAAAGTGCTGAGTTCTCTACATATGTACTCTAGCAGAGCTTAGGTTGTTTTTTCTAATATTGAAACTTCCTATCTGCAGATTCAGAAACGCTGAAACCTGAACACTTTGAAGAATCTGGATATACTTTTATAGCACCAAGGTGGGTCAATTTCTCAAACATAAATATAGTATAATTAAATAACCTAAGAAATATGATGCATAGCAAATTTCAATATGTCATAATATGCTTAAATTTGTTATTAAAATAATGCTCAATTTAACTATGCTATAAGGGCAACTGTTTTTCAAGGTTATCAAAAGAGATAATATAGTTATACACTTAAGTAATACAAAACACTACCTAAATTAAAGTTAGTAGTGATCATAGGAGTCAGAATCATCTATTTCATTCTGCAATACATTTCACTTTGTACAGTTATATATCTTGTATGAAATAGATGCTTCTTATATTAACCTTTTTTTTGAGTAATGCTTGTTACAGTATGTCCTGAAACATCTCTCTTATTTTTTATGCATAAACTCAGACACAATCCCAACCACACTTCTTTCCTGTTCTAACATCAACTATGATAACATACTTACAGCACCTTGGAATTTTAAAAACACATTTATCCCAATGACTCTGTAAAGTAGAAAAAGTATCATAACCTCCATTGTACTGAGAAGGAAACTGAAGCTCAATAGGTTGCAGGACTTTTGGATAATCACAGAATTTCTAAGTTTCCGAAGCAGAATTCAAACCCAGAACTTCTGTATCTTAATCTAGCACTTTCTATGAAACTCACTTTTATAGACCAAATTCATGAAGACTAGATATTTTACCCCCTTTAAGGCACAGTTGTATCTCAACTACTCTTTGCACTGATCGTTATTAACCTATTATTCACTCAACAAAATTCCATTTAATCCACTCCTTACTTACATAATGAATTCAAGGAATTAGAATCAAAATTACTAAACATTCACTTCACACATATTAGAGGTGCTTTCAAATTCTCTTTTCACATGCAAATATGAATTAGGGTTATTTGAAATGTAACTGAGCTCTCATTTTGAAACCACATTAATTTTGGATTTTGGAAGTACCAAAAAACATGCAAACAAAAGCCTTAGCACTTATCAATTATTCTTCATATATACTCCACAGACAGTAGTACCACAGAGTTTAGAACTTAAATGCAAAGCAAAGCCGTTTTGCATTGATCCTCAATTACTTCATGTAAACTAACCTTATTTCCTCATTGAACAAATAAAATTCAACAAACATTGATTATAGTGCCTTCTATGTGTAAATCAATGTGCTAAGCATTCCGGATACAATGATGAAATAAGACAGAACTTGCTTCCAAGACCCTAATAATTTAGTAGGGGAAATGAAATATCCACAAATATTATGATGAAAATTAGAATATGATAAGTGGAAAAAAGTGTTCAATTTAAAGATTTTAATACAGTCACTTTCACATGGAAGGATTAGAGAAAGCTTTGTGGAAAAGTTGATACCTGAGCTGGATATTAAAGAAAGGAAGGATTACAACCAGAAGAACAAATAGGGAGAAAGTTTCTTAGGCTTGAGTGGAACAAGCCTAGGCAGACACAAAGGTGAGAAAGGACAAGCCAAGAGCAGAGAACAGTATGTCTAGAATACATAAGATGTGAAACAGGAGAGGAAGCAAAATGAAATTGCAGTGTGTATTTTTGTTTGTTTTCTATCTTTTGTTATAAAAGATGGATTGGATTGTTGAGGTAAGGAAGGAAAGATATATTGGGGAAATGAGGGTAATAGAACAATGAAATGTTGCAACTTTTTTTTTAAAAGAAAAAAGAAAGTTATGTTGCTGCCAAATTGGAGAAGGCATCTAATGTCAGATTATGGAATCTCTCCTTTATTAGACAGACAGTGGAAAGTTGCTGAAGGTTTGGGGATAGGAGAATGAGTGGTATGGTTAGACCTGTTTTGACAAAGATTAATTTGGCAATTGAATGAAGAATGAATTGAAGCAGAGACTGGGGGCAGAGAGAAGCATTGATATTAGTAAGGAAACTTAAAATAATTCAGGTCAGACATGATGAGGGCTTTAAACTAGTGTGGTAGCCTTTGTAGTATAGGGCAGAGATGTATTTGAAAGAATGTGTTGGACTTATAGACATATTTCTCACTGTGTGTATTGGAAAGAATATTAAATTTACAGTCAGATGACGTAGGTTGAAAGAAATTCTGGCTCTCTTAACCTATTACCTATTAACTTGAGCTAGTAATTCTGCTTCTCTGGGCCTCATTTTTCTCATTTGTGGAATGAAGAGGTTAGATTAAATGATCTCTTATGTATACCAATCAGCTACCAGGTCTAGGATGTTACTGGATCCTTAAACAAAGGATTTGAGACTGGTTAAATATAGGTGGTGGGAGAAAAGGTGGTACTTTGAGTTTTGAAGTAGGGTAAATAGAAGAGATAGGGGAGTCAGTATAATTGGTAGGGCTTTGGGGGAGTCTGTTCAGTTTGAACATATTTATTTTGAGGTGCCAGAGAGAGGCATATCTAGTGACATTCAGTGAGGAGTTATAAATGAGATACAAGCTCAAGGGCTAGAGATGCAGATTTGTAAGCCAACTGCATCAAATGATCATAGAAACCAGAGGATAAGGTGATATGAAAAGAGGAAAGCATGAGAGAAAAAAAACTAAGAACAAAGGCTTAGAAATTCTTGTGTTTAGAGTATCAGAACAGGAAAAAGTGACAGCAAAGGGGACAAATAATTAACAATAGAACTGTAACTGATTTAATGTCATTGAAACCAGGAGTGAAGAGAATATTAAGGAGAAACAAACAATAAGTAGTCAAATATATATAATTTTTTAAGGTTTATAAGGCATTTTAATCATAAGAACCCTGTATGCTAGGTACTGAATGTGGCCTCACACACATTTTATAGATGAGAAAAATAAAACCTGGAAAGTTTAAGTGACTTTGCCCATACTCACACACCCAGACTTTTCAACCAGTTAAGTTTTCCTAACTCCTATTTCCCACTGTGCCATGTGTTTCTCTGATACTGCCAAATGATAAGGAAGATGGGAACTGATGAAGACTGGGATAGGGCCACTGGGTAAGGAAAACATGAGTGAATTGGGATTGGTTTCAATAGAGCGGTGGGTACAGAGGCAGCCTACAGCGGTAAATAAAGAAAAATACAGTTTTAAGTGTAAAAATACTGTAGGAGAACTTTGTCAGTAAAGAGTAGAGGAAAGATGGTGATAGTTTGAAGGAACATTGAAGTCAATGAAAATTTTTTTTTTTAAAGATAGAGAAAATTGAGCATAATTGTGGTTGGAGAGGAAGAGGCCTAAGCCAGGAAGAGAGAGAGATTGAAAATGAGTTTTTCAAAGATATAAGAGGAATTAGGATTAACAGAACAGGAAGAGTGGTTATCATCTTGGGTGGGAGAAAAGATTGTCCTCTAGGATAAAAGGGAATGAGAAGAAAATGGGTGAATACATAGAGAAGCTATAGGTATAGAGGAAGAGAATTAAGAGATCATATTTAATAGTTTAATTCTCTCAGTAAAATACAATTTCAGGTCATCTTCTTAACATAAATTTGTAGTGGAACACTAAGCATCACCTCACAATATCCTCAAGTAGGATTAAGCATCTTAGTACAAACGCTAGGATAGGGTGGGGGATATGGGGGGCGGGCGGCTCTAGATTGGAGTTTAGTAGAACTGACATCATGTAAAGTTAGTGAACTGAGGAATTCTGAGATGGAAGAAAATCCATCATTAAAATGGCTGACCATTAGGTTGACTGGATAGTTGAAGTCAAAACACAGTTGATGGGTTTGAAGGCTAAGGAAATGAAATGACTGTACAACAGGAGGAATGAGAGTGAGCAACAGACAAAATTGTGATCAGAGGTTCATTTCAGAGTATAAAATGCTTGAATGAGCCACTTGGTATCTTAGTGTCATCCCCTACTCAAATATAAAATGTTTAAAGGCAGGGAAGATGTCATATGCCTTCTGAATCTTCAGAGTACCTAGTATAGGGCTAAGCATATAGTAGGTTTGCCCAATAAATATCTAATTGAATAACTGTTTGTATCTGTGTTAAGTAAACCTAACCCAAGGGGTTTTGTTGTTATTGTTGTTTTTCAGAGAATATTGTAATGACCTAAAACCATCAGAAAACAACACTGAATTTCTCTTAAATTTCAATGAGTTTATTGATCGAAAAACACCAAACAACCCATCATGTAAGTGTTTGTGCCTTTTGCAGGAAATGCTTTGGGGAAAAAAAGATACTTTAATTCTTCCATTACCCCATTAAATAGTGCTGATATTTATCTTTGATTTATTGATTTCTTTAATGGTCCTGAATAAAGAGTAGGGTTTTGTTTACTGCTTAACGAACTTAATGTGAAATTTAATAAAAGATACTTTTCCAATTGTAGAATTAAGGTATTTTCAGTGATTAAAAAAGAATGAAATGGATCCTTATTTTTTTCAAATCACTGAAAAATACTAAAACCATTTGAATTATTCTCAAATCTGATATAGTATGATTTAGGCTTGCATTTTCAGTGTATAACTTTTTTGGATCTAGCCAACTGTTATCCTCATAAGAGAAAAAGAATACCACCACCGCCTATATAAGTTAGATTCTAAAATTAGTTTCAATATCAGTGGAAAAGGGAAAAAGAGCATACAAAAAAAATACCTGTAAAGAATCTACAGTTGACCCCAACTGAACATGTGTCTGAAAGAACAGACTTCATTAATTTGAAGGATAATCATTTGCCTTCAAACACTGTGGTTCAAAGAAATAGGGACTTTAGCTTAAAACCAATACATCTTCCAATTTCAGAGAGGATTAACTCTTTGGATCACAGGCTATACTTTATAACTCCTAAGAGATATATGCATTTTTATCCCTTAGAAGAAATTTTAAGATCTGCAATTCTCTTTAAAGCAGTCTCTTTATTACAAATAAACTGTTACAGTAAAATACAGTATGAGCTGGAGAGGTATATATAAAAAAGGAAAGGTCAAAAATGCAATAAATCTACATTTATGGATCTGTGATCTCGTCATTGGGCATTCTGTCCTTTGAAGACAACAATTCACCCACACCTTCTCAGTGAATATAAAGAAACTTCAGTCCAAATAAGAGTATGCTTTTTAACACTGATTCTAGCCCCTTTCATCCCATTCTTCCAGTACTGAATGTCTGAGTAATACTTTACCCAAACCTTAAACTTGGCTTAAGTACAGATCTAAGAGTATAGAAATATTCCAGGGTCAGCAATACAACAATACAGGAGTTCTTTTAATACTGTAGAGTTTCGGGGCAGCTAAGTGGCGCAGTGGATAGAGCACCGGCCCTGAAGTCAGGAGGACCTGAGTTCCAATCCGGCCTCAGACCAAACACTTGACGCTCACTAGCTGTGTGACCCTGGGCAAGTCACTTAACCCCAATTGCCTAAAAATAAAAAAAAATTAAAAAAAATAATCATCAAGTATTAAGTATTCTCTGTGTGCCAAACACTGTGTTAGGGGGCTGGTCCGACAAATGCCAAAGGAAGACATTTTATGCCTTCATAGCATACATTTTACTACACATTTATCTTGCTAAGATCAGAGACATAATCCTAAATATTAGCTTTAAAGAGTGGGCAGTGTAATATCCCTTCTGGGGGAAAAACCCAACATTACCATATAATCAGACACATGCTGGCATGGTTCAGTTTAGGCAAGTGAAGAACCATCCTCACCCCTTTCACTTCTTATTGTCAATATCTCACAATACTGAGAAATTCAGTCCTAAACAGGAATAGAGATTGCTGCTATTCTCCACTTCTGGGAGCAAAAAGACAAAAAGAATTCAATTTACGTAGTGTTTCAAGTTTTATAAAGTCAGCCAGACACCCATGGAAAATAACTTCCACTCTAAAAATTGTAACCAAAGTTACAATTAAGTAGGTCTGCCACTGTTAATCTGCCTTGATAAATTCTGTGGCCGGGACTTAAAAAAAAAAATCCCCAAAACTGATCCTTATTTTGTTCTGCATATTATGGAGCTTATTCTAGTTCTTGAAGACTTCAAAATAACTCAAAACTAAGGTAAGAAACAGACTCACTATCTATATTTTTAAAGTGCATCAGTAGAGGCAATGAATCATGATGAAACGTTCATTACCCAAGATGATTTATAAATGAAAGACTCAAAAAATATATTATATTGAAAATATGGATATTTCAATGAACATAGACACTTTAAAGAAAGCAGTTACTTAGTTTGTTCATATGAAAGCTAGTTTTCATTCATTTGGCTTTAATTATATCCATATTTAGATTTTGCATTTTTAATCTGTCCATCTGTGATAGAAGTATTTTTTCTTGTATCACTCATTAGCTTAACTCCGCTTTGTTTAAAGTAAGGGGGAGGGAAGTAGGCTCATTTCTCATTAGGAATCTCTTAAAGACAAAAAGAATGATTAGGTTGACACAGAGATGATTAATGAAATAATAGTTAAAAATTAACATCCTTGTAAAAAAGTTTTTTTTTTCCATGTGTACCCAGGACAATTTTTTTCTCTACTTTGACAAACAGCTTATATAAAGGCAAGGCTTCCTTCCATTCACTAGATGACCTTCAAGTCCTTGCAATATAAGATTATGGTCAGTTGACATGTACCCAAGATGCCAGTCCCCACATTACTATTACCTACTCCTGATTGCTTTCAACTGATCCCCTCTCTCTGCTGCAGTGTGCATTCCTGATAATCCAGTAACATAAAATAAAAATCAGCTGTGACCAGCCAGTCAGCCATATGGATAAGTGAAATATTCATCAAATGTAACTGTTTTAAAAAATAAGTCAATAAGTCCAAATTTTTTTCAAACAGTTTAGATTTTCCTTAGTGATTTTGACAATACTATCAATCTTCTATATTTATTTTCTCATAATTAATGTCTTACTTTATTGATCAACAAACCAAGTATAGCTCTGACTTTATGAAAATCATCACTGACAGCAGTAACAGTCAACCAAAAGTAGATGAATAAGCCTTAAAAAAAAAAAAAAGAATTGCAGTAAAATTTTATTTTGCTATATTAAATCACTTTACAGGAATAACCTTATCAGTGGGTGCAGAATTCTCACACTACTTATTTATTATTAAAGTTAATTTATTGACCTATGAAAATGTCTCTATAATTGCCATATCAGATATTTATGGTGTAGAATGAATGACTTAAAGAATGCCTCAATTCCCAGAACCAGTGTAAAAATGATATTATTTATGTGAAATGAGCTGGACAAGAAAAGTTCCAATAAATAACACAATGCTAACAGTCTCTGTGTGCGTAGGCGTGAGTTACCAACTGCAATGGTCACATTTAGTATTATAATGAATGGAAAACTCAAGGCCTGGAGAAGAATTAAAACAAAAGACAAACTGTTAAATCGTTTTTTTATTTGCATTTAAAATTTTAAATTTAATTTTGCATTTGCATTTTAAATTTAAATTTTATTTGCATTTTAAATTATCAATGATTTTTCCAGATAGTGGAATACAAATAGTGGATTTTTCCTAAAGCGAAAAGGCTTTCTTGAGCGGCAGAAGTATGGGCTAACATAAGGTTACATTTAATCCTCTAGAGAAAACACTATGCCAAAGATACCTTTATGAAAATCAACAAAAATTACTGCTTTAAAGTTTGACTTTCAGTAGTCAGATTGAGATTATTTCTCCACCGAAGAGAGTAGATGATAGAAAAATTCCAGGTCTTTCCCTGTACATAGGGCCCCAGCTCCTTGTCTAGGAATGAATATGAATGAATATTCAACCTGTGAGTTGAATGGAACCTCAGCTACAACATATTGGAGAATTCACCAAATTATTTAGTCAGTGGTTGTGCACTTGCTACTCATTCAACATTACACCCTAATAAGTGTTTTATAGTTCTGGGCTTATAGTAAGGAAATCCTAAATTCAAATCCTGCCTCAGAAAGTTACTTGGTCTGTGGCCCTAGGCAAATAACTTAATCTCTCTAGGCTATTTCCTCATCTGTAATAAGAGAGGTTTAGACTCAATGTCTCCTTAAGGTTCATTCCAACTCAAAATCTATTGATCCTTTGACAATTTCATAAGTAATATCTTTCAGTTTCTGTGGTATAAATCATTTAACCCTGGTAGAAAAACTGCTTCTTATAGCTTATAACTGAATAAAAGGAATAAGAAAGGATACATAGCCAATTACTTTTCCCCTTTCCTTCCTCATAATAGCATTCTGAGTTTGGTTGTTTGGGATTTTTTGTTGTTTTTGTTTTTGTTTGTGTATGTACTCCATCCTCCAGCCCCCCTAAATAGAAATAGCCCAACCTGAAGTGAACATTAGTACACGTGTCAAAAATTCTTACCCTATTTGAGATTTAACATTGTTCCGGGAAACAAAAAAGAGAAAGAGAAGGGGAGGGGGGAATGTTATAGAAAATTCTAGTGGGAAAGTGAGCAGACAATGAATAACTCTTGAATAATAAAACTTTCTTTTGGCCATATTTTCAGTATCATTGTCTATTGATTTTAAAGATTTTAAGAAAGTATTTGACTCAGTAGAAAAATAATGAAGAAATCATAGACGTTTTAATACTTTGATGGATCTGTGATTTCTTTATTACCTCTCTACTTAGTCATGGACAGCTAGGCCTGGGCCTAGGAGTCAGGAAGACTCATCTTCCAGAATTCAAATGTAGCCTCAGGCATTTTCTAGCTGTATGACCATGGGCAAGTCACTTAACCCTCTTTGCCTCAGTTTCCTCATCTGTAAAATGAGTCAGAGAAAAAAATGGCAAACCTCTCCAGTATCTTTGCTAAGAAAACCCCAAAATGGGGTCGCAAAGAGTCAGACACAACTAAAAAAATGACTAAACAACAACACTGAGCCATACTTTCTTTAAATTAATAGACAAGTTGTTAAAGTTGTATTAAGCTTGAACTTGTTTATATTATATTTATTTGATTATTTTTAAAATTTCACTCTTATACAATGTTATTGTCAAAGCATTTTTATAAACAGTTCTGTTAATGGAACTACAAATGATGAAATATATAACATAAACAATAGCATTGTTTACTTTTTAAAAGTGCTTTTTGTGGATAATATACAATAGTGAAATAACTGAAAAAACTATGCATATTATAAAACAAAAATAGCAATATGTAAAATGCTGTTTAAAATAATTCAGATATGTGGTACCCCTAATTGATTTTTATAGAAGACACTAGATGATGTTTCATAAGTAGCATAATTCAAAGTCACGTCATCTTAGATGAGTTATTCATATTCTTTTTTAGGTAATGTGGATATGATCAATAGAGTATTGCTAGATGCTGGTTTTACAAATGAGCTTGTCCAAAATCACTGGAGTAAGCAGAAAAACCTGTAAGTATTTTTTTTCTTTTATATAAAATTTCATTCTTCACTTCAGTGTGGACTTTTGCTATGAAATTCTTGGCAGTAAAGCCATATAAATTTTAGGGCTGGACTTTTGGATTGCTGTGATTCCAAGAAAAATAGAAGTAACAACAGACATTTATTTAACATTTGTGGATGCTTAAACAGGCCCATTTTCTGTATTATATGAAGTGGGTTCACGTATACACACAATTAGACCAAGTAAAATTCTGTTAAATACATAACTTTGTCTCAATCTCTTTTTTCCCGTCCTTTATTGTAGCAAAGGAGTAAAAGCTCGTTTTGTTGTGACCGATGGTGGAATTACCAGAGTATACCCGAAAGAGTAAGTCAGTATGTTATCTTTTATAATGAAATAATGAGTAAGGTGCTAAGTATACGAACAATATTATTGGGAAGACCATCATATTTCAATAGATAAAGGACTACCTCAAGTTTCCTAAAACTGCTGTTCCATGCCCATGCATTATCAAATTAACTTCTTTTTCTGAGAATATACAGTGCCAAGACTTTTCCTAGAAATGTTTATATTTCCTGAGTGGAATTTATTCTTCTGTAGAAACAGCCTGAAACGAGTTTTACATGGACACAGTGCATGTCTAGGTTATATCATTTATCACATTTGAATGGAAGTTAGCACATCGTTGTTTAATCGTTTCAGTCCCATGTAACTCTCCTTGACCCCGTCTGGGGTTTTCTTGGCAAAGATACTGCAGTGATTTGCCACCAGTTCATTTTACAGATGAGGAAAATGAGGCAAACAGGGTTAAGTGACTTGCCTCATGGGCACACAGCTAGGAAATGTTTGAGGTCAAATTTGAACTCAGGTCTTCCTCACTCCAGGCCTGGTGCTCTATCCATTGTACCACCTAGCTGTCCATTATATAGTAAGAAAACAATAAATGGGATTTACTTCTTTTCCTATTTGGATAAGCAGATTGAAAATTGCATAAAGTAGATTAAACAGTTAGGGTAGTTAGGCATGGTGACTCATTTCTATAATCCTTGCTACTCGGGAGGATAAGGCCAATGGGTCTCTTGAGTTCTGAGCTGCAGTGGGCTAAACCAGTCAGGTGTTCTACTATGTTTGGCATTATCATGAGCTCCAGGAAATGGGGATAACTAAAGATGGATAAACCAGCCCAGGACAGAAATGGGACAGGTCACTGCTTCCCTGTAGATTAGAGTAGACCTGCACCAATGAGTAGACCCTATACTTGCTGCCTAAATAAGAGAGGAAGAGACCCCCTGCTGAAAAAAAAAAAAGTTAAAGCAATTTTTTTCTCTTTAGGGCTGGAGAAGATTGGCAAGAAAATCCAGAAACATATGAAGATAGTTTCTATAAACGGAGTCTGGATAATGACAACTATATTTTCACTGCTCCCTACTTTAACAGTAAGTTATGGAGACATAGGTCATCTGGTGCCATATGACTTTATAGATGAGAAAACTGAGGAACAGAAAGGCCAAGTGGCTTGTCTGAATATTCACACACAAGTAATATGTATCAAAGCTAGGAATAAACCCTAGTTTTCTTAATTCCTTCATTCTACTGACCTGTGCTCCACATAGCTGTGTACTACTATATGGACTGATATGTCACAAAATATTCCAATGGAAGGATTTCTGAAGAGTTAAACATAGTGAATAGTTAACTGACACTTTAGTTAACAAGTGAAAGACATTAGTGTATAATTAGTGTATAATAGTGTATAAATATTGTAAATCTGGCATTTACACTATTAACTATCCCTGTAAACAATTGAACAGGATAATTCAGATCTCAGGGTGAACTGAGATAAATATACTTGTTGAAGCTCTGGCACAGTCACTTCTACATGTATTCAGTGCAAGATTGTAGAAAAAGAGACATTATCTATCACTGTCCACTAAATGTGTACTGACAGATTTAAATATATCCACTAGTTTCACAACTGACCATGTTAATATGATTCTTTTTTCCATACCACAATCCTTTGACTTTTAGAAAGTGGATCAAGTGCCTATGAGTCAGGGATTATGGTAAGCAAGGCTGTGGAGATATACATTGATGGAAAACTCCTCAAACCTGCAGGTAAGACTAAATATATTTTAAATTTACATAATGTCACTAAAATTAAATGGGAAATAAAATAATAATTGGTAATTCTCTGTCCTGTAGGAATGGGGCAGGTCATCACAAAGCCTACATATCTTAAATTAAATTTCCTAGAATGGAAAGTGTTATGAGATCACTGTTCTTTAAAAGGTCACCCTGTCATTATGGCACACCATAGGTGAAACTGCAAAGAAAGCAAAATTTGACTTGCTTTCAGGATCCCATACCTTGTGATACATCTGCCCCAACCACTTCTGACACCTAGTGTATGCCCAGACATTTTTTTTCCCCATCTTCTCTTCCTCCTATCAAACTCTGTTCTCAGGAAATGATCTAATAAACTTTCACAATTAATTTGTTACTTCTATTTAGGATAATCACCTAATCTCTAATTATGGAATGTCAATCATCTCCTAGCCAGTAGAAAAGATACCACCAGGCTAGTGCTTGTCTACTCAAGACCACTCCTGACCATAAATAAGTTTTCATTTTTTATGAATGTTCTTAGTTCACTGTACCAATTAATACATGTAGGAAATATGTAACATCTTCCTTTGTTATAAATTAGAGTTTATTTTAATGACTAATGAGCCAATATAATCAAAAACATGTTTTTGAACTTTATTTTTCAAGTGATAACCCTATGTATAAACTGGGAGAAGGGCAGGGTATTTGGGGAGGGGACCAGTGAGTGCATTGTTATTGGGAATTGGGAGATAGGCCCAGCAGCTTAGCCTTAGAGATTTGCCTAAGGCACTGAAAAATTCAATGAGTGGCCCAGGTTCACCTAGTCTTACAGGTCAGAAGCAAGACTTAAACCCAGGTCTTCTAACTCCAAGGCCAATTGGAGTCTATCTACCACAACATGCAACTTTATTTAAATTATTTTCTTATTTGTCCAGTCAGCTGAAATGCATGAAGATGTCCTTATGCATTTGACTATCACATACATTTCAGTATAACAAGTGGCATTTTGTTATTGCCTCTCCTTTGGTGCAGGAAGAGAGAGTCTCAATCTAATTTCTTTGGGGGAACTCTTGGTGTTGAAAATTCAAAGACCAATGCAAATTATCAACTCATCTATAAATTCTAGCCTTAGTGAACTGCCTAGGAGCATGAGCATAAGTTAGGGGGAAGACTTGAAACCAGGTGTTCTTGACTTCAAAGCACATTAGTCCTTTTAAATTAAAGTAAAATGAAAATTCCAAAGTATATCTAAAATTAACAAGATTCTTATTTGCTAATCTGACAGATAATTTCAGAGTGGTAACGGATAGGGAAAAGTAATATGTTTTCATTTACCTATTTGTTTTTTTTTTAAATAGAATAAAATTAGGAAAAATAAGATATAGGGAGGATCTATAAATTGATGTGTGGACATATGTTTATAATTTTTCAGTTGTTGGAATAAAAATAGATGTTGGCACCTGGATAGAGAATTTCACCAAGGCCTCAATAAGGGATCCGGTAAGAAGTTGATTTGTTTAATGTTATAGTGGGATGCTTATCAATCTTAAAAGAATGTGGGAAATTTATTAGTTCACAATCAATGGCTAAGCCTTTTCTGTCTATTAGAATTTTTAATTAGGCAAATGATTCATAAGGTAAAAAACATTTTTTTTTAAAAGTTCCCTGTGGTAATAACATCTCCTAGAATATCATTGACTTCATTTTGTTGTTGTTCAGTCATTTCAGTTGTGTCTGACCCTTCCTGACCCCCTTTGGGGTTTTCTTGGCAAAGACATTGGAATAGTTTGACATTTCTTTCTCCAGTTCATTTTATAGATGAGGAAACAGAGGCAAACAGGGTTAAGTGACTTGCCCAGGGTGACCCAACTAGCAAATATCTGAGATCAGATTTGAACTTAGGTCTTCCTGCCTCCAGGTCCAGAACACTATCCAATGTGTCATCAAGCTGCCCCTGACCTTATCTACTGATGTTCATTAAATCTAAATGCTTTTATTATTAAAATATAGAAATGTGGTCTTAGACAGGACTTCCATAAGTCTTTCTAGTTGAAAGTCTTTTTTGTAGTTTTGTACTAAAGAACTCAGATTCATTTGGACTCCAATATGATGGCTTATTGTAATATATCATTAATGGTGAAAAGAATTCAGATAAAAAAAAAAACCTGTGAGGTGATAATAATAATATTTCTCTTTTTCAGTGTGCTGGTCCAGTTTGTGATTGCAAAAGAAACAGTGATGTAAGAATGCTTTTGAAAATAATTGTCTTTCAAATTCTATAACCTAACCACCGTATCAACTTTCTTTAAGACAGATTTATTACCCAAAGGACCAAGTCATTATAGTCAGACTTTACTAGGAGTTTTTAAATTCAGCTGGGTTGAAAGCTGGTTTTTTTTTTTTTTTTTTTACTATTTATTGATGAAAACAATCTGATGAGTCTCTTAAGTAGATTTAAAGATTAAGTTTTCCATTCTGCCTTTAAACTTCTTTATAAACATACTATATATAAAACCATTTTTAACTAAAGCTGAATTTCAAAGCATAACCTGAGAATAAAAAAAGAGATTCTCAGAGTTGGAACAAACCTTTCAGAGATGATTTAGTGCAGACTCCCTCAAAAACTACCCCAATATATTTTGCAGAAGAACAAATCTAGGTAATTTCTAGTTTTACATGGAAATTGTGCCTGTCTAGGTCATATCAGTTATCACAATTGAAAGAAGAACATCATAGTAGATGATGATAATCTCAACAGAAATAGACAAGTTTGAAGAAGGGAAACATGGGGGAGAGAGATAGTAAGTTTTATTTTGCACCTATTACATTTGAGAAACCTATGGGTCATCTAGATTTTGTTGTTGAACTAGACCTTAAATGGTAGATAAGGCTAAGCATACAATTTTAGGAGTCATTTGGGATCACTGAACTCATGGGAATGGATGGTCTCAAAAAGGTAGAGAATGGAGAGGGAGAAGAGAGCCAGAATCTTGCGGGACACCCATACTTTGGGGAGGTCAAGAAAAGGAATGAATAAAGAGCATCCAAAGAGGGAAGAAAGAGAACCAGGAGATGGGCAGGGAAGCCAAGGGAAGGGAGAGAATCCAAGATTAACAGAGTATGTACATCCAAAAAACATATAAATAAATAAGGGAGTAATGATGGTTATCCATTGTCTTGTTAGACTATTTAATTGTAGGTTTTAGATTAAGAGCACATGAGGTACAAGAGGTCAAGATAAGGAAAAACAACAATAACTATCATCAAATTTATTCAATGATACATTTTTAAAGTTTCAATGATGTAAATATGTTTTAAATCACAATAAGGTTAATGAGATGCATTATCATTCACATGAAAAACAGTTCTAATTATCTAATAATCAGAGAACCAAAAATTAAAAAGGATAGATGAAGTGTGATCAATTAAGAGCCTCTTGCAAAAGTAAAGAAAAAAGAAAAAAGAGTCAAGGATGAAGTGAAGGTTGCAAATTTGTGACTAAAATGGTGATGATACTAGCAACAGAAATGGAAAAGTTTGGAAGAGATAATGGATTGTGTTCTGTGTACATTGACTCTAAGATGCTTTCAGCATGTCTGGGTGCAGATGTCTAGTAGGCAGTTCACAATTTAGGACTTGTGTTCATAACATAGAGGGTAGCAGCATCCATATTTAAGAGTCATCTGCACAGGGATGATAATTTAATCTTTGGGAATTGATGAGATTCTCCAAGGGAGAAGAGTGCTGACAGAAGAGGACTCAGGACAAAACCTAAAAGGATATTTATAATTAATGGAAAAGAAAAAGGTAATGATATGGCAAAGGAGCACAAACGGAAGAGTTGAAGAGGTAGGAGAAGTAGGAGAAGCAGGAGAGAGCAGTGTCCCAAAAGCCAATAGCTGAGAGTGGTAGATGGTAAAAAACTACAGACAGATTAAGCATAATGAGAACTGAGAAAGAGCCATTGAATTTAGCGATTCAGAGATGGCTGGTAACCTGGGCAAAAAGCAATTTGTCACTTGATGGGATCTGAAGCCAAATTGCAAGAGATTAAGAAGTGAGTGGGATTTCATATTCATTCAAGTTCTTAAAATATTCATATCCAGTGAATCAATGATTTCATTGCTAGTATTTTACCCCAAGGTTGAGACTAGAAATAAAAATATAGTACAAAAATATTCCAAACTACTTTATTTGTATTAACAAAACAATGGGAACAAACTATTGCTTTAAAGATTGAGAAGCAAATAAGTGAATTATGCTAAATAAATGTAATAGATTATGACATAAGAAATTATGAAGAATTCTGAGAAGTATTTAAAGAACTAAATAAAATGATGCAAAGAGAAAAGCAGATCTAAATGAACAAAATAACATTCATAATCACGTTAATAAAGAAAATAAAATGAAGCAAAAGTTTAATTAGACAGAAATGAAGTTCAGAAGATATAACAGAAACAAACATGAAAATTCTGCTTCTACTTTGTTAAAGCTGGTACATCTTTTGTTTTCTGTTAAATTTGTATTGTCATGTTTACAAATACTTGCCCGGTGGAAGTTATAATACAATTTATTTTGAAAACAAAAGAATAAAAGTCATCTCAAAGGAGAATGGGGTACCTTGAGAGAGAGTATCTCAATTAGCCTCTAAGTGGACTCTGAATGACCATTTGTTAAAGATATTGCAAAAGGGTTTCCTATTCAGGTACAGACTAAACTTCTCAGATCCCGTCCAACTCCGTGATTCCAATTCTTATCTATTTATAGATATAAACTTACTTTCCAAAATGCCAGAGAATTGACTAGACAATGTCTTGCAGTCCCTTCCAATACTAGGATTCTCTGCATATCAAAATCACTTGAAACAAAGAGAAAAGATAGTCACTTAGGATTTTTTTTCCTATTTCTATTGTCCTTATCTTTTTTTATTTCTTAAAATAATTGTATCAAGGTTTGGATCATTTTTAAAATTTCACCATTGTTTGTATTTTTTGTAGGTAATGGATTGTGTAATTCTAGATGATGGTGGATTCCTTTTAATGTCAAATCACGACGAAGATACTAATCAGGTATGTATGTAATATATGTGATAGACATACTGACCCATTGCTTCATTGTTTAAATTTAAAATGCTAATTTTAAAAATTGGACAAAATTCCTACTAGTCAAAATTTTCTGTCATAAATGATTAGAAAGTTGGTCAATTTAAAAATAAATACAAAATACAACTCATAATTATTAATTATTCATTTGAAACTTCTACTCCAGAAGCAACTAGATTCATAATAGCATCATGTGTAGAAATGGAAAGCTTTTTAGACTATGATTAGTCAGCCTAAATATGCTTTATCGTATATGGCTCAGTTATATTTATCTAATAAATGTATATCATTGCACCAACAATTTCCACAAATATGTAATTTTGTTGTTATCATAGTAAAAAAAATACTGAGACTTAACATTTTCACATATTCAAATTCATCAAACCCCAGTTAAGGGGCACCCTGGACTTGTCTTCTTGATTAACAGACCATGTTTATCTTGATGCATGCCTAACTTAATACAGATAGCATTTCTATAGTTTTCTACTACTCTGTGATTTTTAATTTCTTCCATTAAATATGATTTGAAGATACATAGCTAGCAGTAGAAGGAAAAATAACTTTGGTTTTCTTTTCATGGTAGAAGTTAATCCCAATTTGTCAAAACTACTAGTTGCTTTAAAGGAAAAACTCTCTAGTTTCATTTGACTTTTAAATTATTATTATCTCATTTAGTGGTAGTGGTTCAGATGTCATTGTTTGGCTAAGTAGTTTGAACCTAATTTCACCCTTCTTCCATACTAGATTGGGAGATTCTTTGGAGAGATTGATCCAAGCTTGATGAGACACCTCATTAATGTGTCTGTCTATGCCTTTAATAAATCTTATGATTATCAATCTGTTTGTGACCCTGGTAGTTCACCAAAACAAGGAGCAGGAAATCGTTCATCATATGTGGTGAGTAACTATCAAATTGTCAATAAATTCTTAAAATAATATGCATGTACAATCAAAAACAATTAGAGTGCTTTGGGAAATAATATCTTCGCTGTCACTAAATGTCTTGGAGAGATCCTAGATTAATCAAGTGTCCTTTTCTATTTTTTTTAAGCCATCGATAGCAGATATTTTGCACATAGGTTGGTGGGCCACTGCTGCTGCATGGTAAGTGGAAACTCCAACTAACAACACAAGAAGGGCATAATGGTATTGCAATATGTTTGAAACATGTTTAATTATGATGATTCTTTGATTATTTGTACCTTTTGTTACCAATCATTACCAAGAATTGGCATCCCCTGAAACCACTTCCTTTGTAAAAAAAATGAAAATATTCCTCCATCCCAAATGAAGTTTACTCAATTTATTCTACTCAGTGTTCTACAGACACATTCATGTTTTATCTCTATGTACTTCTACCCCAACATCTGCCACATTTGGACAGCTACCCTCACCATTGCCGCCAAAGCTTTCTGTGATTAGTAAAGGACAGTTCTAAGATATAATTTGTTTGTACTATTTGAAAATAGTTTTTTTCTCAACTGCTTAGGGTATTGTAATGACCACATAAAATAGTTTCATTTATTTAAAACATTGTGGCATAGTAGAAATAGCACTGAATTTAGAGTCAGTGACCTTCATTTTAAATTCTAGTGTTATTATTTTTGTGATCTTTGACTAAACCTTTTGGGCCTCAGTGTCTTTATCTGTAAGAAAAGGATGTTCATAACTTCTAAGGCCCCTTACAACTCTAAATATTGTTAAAAAAAAAACAAGATTTTTGTGGAATTCTTTTTACCTTTACAAACTATAATAATAAGCTGTTTAATAACTATAATGATATACTATAATATTTATTAATAGTAAACCATAATTTTGGCAGCACAAAAAATAATTTTTACAAATTAGCATAATGTTTATAGAAACTATTTAAAAAAGTACAGTCACTCAATTAACTAAAAAGTAGAAAGCTGTTTATCACTGCCCTTTTTGTTGCATATATTTTGTTGGGCATATTTGATTTAATATAGCAAAATGTGCCCTGGCCTATTGGCTCTCTTCCAGCAAGGTATCTCTTGAGAATACAATAAGATTAGACAAATTCTTCACATATACAACAACCAAAGACATTTTTTGACAGTCCTGTCATTATCACTCTGAAACAAGGTACATAGTAGCCAAAGTATCTGCCATGATCATGCAGGATAAGCGGCACAGAGTCCAAATAGAAGGATTTTCAAAAGGTGGTGAGATCTACCAGATGCTCTTGTTTGCAGATGGCATCCTGCTTAATTTATCCAGCTACTGATACATTATAGTGGCTCCTAAATGAATCTAACACGTCTCAAAGGAGTTCAGCTTGGGAATGCACAGAGGGAAAATGAGTAGATAAGGGATTCTAATAGCCAAACTAGGATATCAAGTTGAATGTACAACCCATCAAAATCTGCTCATAAATATAAAATCTTGAAAAGATAGACACTATGTATGAACAATGAACCCAAATGAGGAAATGGGTGACCAGGATTGATATTAGGGAAATGTAATGTATTTTTCATAATCTCAAGCTGTTCCTTAAAACAAAAGCTAGCCCATCTTCTAATCACTAATATTCTTCCAAAGATGCTATATGTAGCATCATTAACACAAAAATCTTCAAAGAATATAAATTATAATAGACCAGGAATAGCAGTGATATAGAGCTTTTTCATGAATGCAATTGTGTTATTTAATAAGAATGCTATTAAAATGTGAAAGTCAGTTTCAATGAACTAAATTTGCATTCACTGCATGTATTTTATGAGTTGAATTTGAACTTTAGCTAATCTAGGTGCCACAAATAGAGTTATATTTTTAATCAGGATTCTCAGGTCACATTTCTCTAAATGAAAATAACATTTCAATAAAAATACCCAAAAGGCATTTTTTGCTTGCCTTCTCAACAAAACTCAGAGGAAGGATATATCACATTCATGGTAATAAAACAGTTATCTCTTTGTCATGAAAGTTGCTGTGGGTTTACAAAATTTGTTAAAACATTAATATCTAAAATAAGATAGACAAGCTGAAGCCCCTACAAAATCAAGAAGCATTTATTAAACATCTCCTATGTTCTAGGCCCTTCTATCATCCACTATCTCTAGAAGTCTGTCCAAATTCATGTTTGTTGTTTCCATGATGCTATCTGTCCATCTTATCCTGTACCATCCCCTTTTCCTTTTGTTTTTAATCTTTCCCAACACCATTGTCTTTTCCAATGAGTCCTGTCTTCTCCTTATGTGGCCAAAGTATTTTAAGCTTCAGCCTTAGTATTTAACCTTCCAGGGAATAGCCAGAATTAATTCCTTTAAGTATTGACTGATTTGATTTCCTTGCTGTCCAGGGGACTCTCAAAAGTCTTCTCCAGCACCACAATTCGAAAGCATCGATTCCGTGGCACTCAGCTTTCTTTATAGTCCAACTCTCACAGCCATACATTGCTACTAGAAAAACCAAAGCTTTGACTATACAGACCTTTGTTGGCAAGGTGAAGTCTCTCTTTTTAGGATGCTGTCCAGATTTGCCATAGCTTTCCTCCCAAGGAGCAAATGTCTTTTAATTTCATGCCTGTAGTTGCCATCTGCAGTGATCTTTGTAATAAGAACTAAAAATGAGTATCATCCAAAAAGCAATGGATACATGAATAGTGAGTCTTTGAGTAGTCTACAAAACATTATAAACAAGAAATTGTGGGTGTCATTAAAAAAAATATGATCAAAAAAGACAGGCTGGTCACATAGCAACAGTAAAGGATAAGGACATGGACAAGAGTAGCACAAGGAGGACAAGCATGAATGGATTATGTGGAAAGAATACTCACACCAATAAGGTCACAGATCTGTCTGAATATTAGTTGTAACACAATTGTTTTTGTTTTGAAAATGTTCATTCATTTATTTCACAGGTCTATCCTACAGCAGTTGATTTTGAGTCTGACTTTTCCCCGGCTTCTTGAGGCAGGTATGTCAATACCTATATCCTGTCATAGGAAATTCTTTTCTATTACAAGGTGCATGATCTCTCCTTCCCCTCAGTTTAAAGGGTGGTAGAATGGCACTGTAGTGGGCAGAATCCTGAATTTTTCCTCATCTAAATAAAACTTCATTTACCTACTCTTGTCTGTTCTGTGGACTACAGTAACATTACCTCTATTTCAATGAGTTTATATTGCTCTGTAAGAAATTTATTTGTTCATATGACAAAATCTGATGATTTATTTGGACTGCAAGGTTGAGTGAGCCCATAGTGCAACACAGCAAAAAAAGCCCCACAAAACTTAATGTGAACTTACATTAAGGAGACACATTCCTGTTATATTCTGTCTTGGTCAGACAGGAAAATGACTGTGACAAATAGCATCTGGAAAATAGTAAATAGGCTGGTGATATGCTTGATACCATTCTCTTTGGTAGGAACCTTTGAAGGATATGGGATACGTTTACTTAGAGAACACTTACGGGAACATGATATCTAAATTAAAGAATATAAGGGTTGTCATGTGAAAGCGAAAATAGATTTATTCTATTTAACTCTATTACACTTGATTTAACTGAGAGTTAAATAGGCTGTGTAGAAGTTGCAGAGGGTCAGATTTTTATCTCATATAAATAAAAACCACCTAATAATTAAAGCTATACAAAAGTAAAATGGATTGCTTCATGGGAGCATTGGGTTCTCCTTTTCTAGAGGTCTATAAGTAAAGGCTCGAATGACCCACCTGTTACAAGTCATTATAGAAGGGATTCTCATTCAGATACAGTTTTTTACATGATGGCCTCAGAGGTCCCTTCCCACTGTGAGGTACTGGGATTCTGTGAAGAATTCAGACAACTGACCAAAACTTTTCCTCTCATGATTTTTTTTTTCACAGTGGATGTGGATGATGATGATTTTTCTGCTGTGCTGTCAAAGCAGAGCTGCATTACTGAACAAACTCAATATTTCTTTGACAATGATAGTAAATCATTTAGTGGGGTATTGGACTGTGGAAACTGTTCCAGGTATTTTTTTTTCTTTATATACTGCTGGACTAATACTCATTTTCTGAAAATTCTTGTCTATCCATCGGATCACTTTATTCTGCTGTAGAAAATAATGGAAGGAGGCAGTTCTGTTTTGGGAAATTTGCAATTGAGAAAGTTAACTGGATTCAATTAAAAGGATATATTAAAATAACCTTCTATGTGCAAAGCATCTCAGCAGGCACTGGATATGCAAAATTTTAAATGATTTAATCGCCGCTTTCAGGCAACTTTTTTCCAAATACGGTGGAAGGTAAGACTTATGCTAGTTGGTTGTTGTCCATCGTACTTGAAGAGGACCAAAGTGACTTCACTATGGTGGGGTCAATGTACAGTGTGTCCAGCTGTGGCTGATCAGACCGATATGAGCTCAGAAGGCTCTACCACAGGTTGGTAGCAAGTAAGATATAGACATAGATAAGATAATGGAAGGTGGGGAGTGATTGCAGCCAAAGAGGAGGGTCAGACAAAATTCCATCAGAAGCTTAGAACTAGGACAGGGGTGGGGAACTTTCAACCTTCAGGCCAAATGTGTCCTTCTAGATCCTGAAGTGCAAACTAACTGCATTCAGTAAAAAGGACACACTTAAGGATCTAGAAGGCCAACATGGCCTGAAGGCTGAAGGTTCCCCACCCCTGAATTAGGAGATTATCAGCTGGGGGCAGGTGAGAGGGAGTTGAGAGCAATTTGGGGACCCTATATAGAGGAGATGGCAACTGAACCAAGCCTTGAAAGGAGACAAGTATTTTAGGAAATGCCTACTTCAGCTCAGCTCTCTCTAAACCTAGAGGAACAAAGAACATCCTACATAATTTAGATTCCCAACATAACAACAAAAATTAAAAGTAACTTTAAGTTGTAGTACTAAATATTAAGCAAAATAAAAAAAAACTTTCCCCACATTTCTCCGAGCCTGCTGTATACATAATACCAATATCAAATAAACATTCTAATCTACCATTAATTTAAGAGATTTGTGGACTTGTATCAGTCTGAAGTCATAGCATAGAAAAATAAATTAAAGTGTAAACCTTCTAGCCCCATACGCAGAACATAGAGGAGGTGGATACTGTTTCCTATTTCACAAGCACTGATATTTCATTCTGTTTTATGACATTATTGTAGGGACAGAGTGGGAGTGTGCCAAACAAAATAGCAATTAGGGAACTCTAGCCAAATAAATGGTTAGTTATCAAATGTGGTTCCCAAGCATTTATTTCTCTTTTATTTTTTAATAACAGGGAAGGTTAACAAACTAGAAAGAGTACTGGTTATGAAATAAGGAAAACCTGAGTTCAAATCCTTCCTCCTTCATATTTACTAGCTATGTCACTAAACATAGTGATTCAGGTTAGGGCTCTTCTACATCATAGACAGACTGCCTTCTTGGGGGAAGTCCCATTACCAGGGAGTTCCCCAATATAATACAATCACGTATTTTGTTATAAATAATTTTCTTAGAGCACAGGAAATTCAGTGTATCTTTAAATATGGAGAAGTTAAAAGAGAAAACAATTTCCCTTGCTCAAAAAGTATAATTTTAGCTTTCTGGTCACATGCCTAGTAAGATGAGCTTTATTTTTTACCTCTATATTGACCAATTAACTCAACTTCCCTATTCCTTTCCCAAATATCTCTCCACTAAATTATGACAGATCATGATGCACCCATTTCACCTGAGGGTGCATAAGCTTCTGGTAAAATCCATTCCATAATTTTATTAGTGTGGACTCCTCACCCCATCCTGACCTCCCCAGTGTAGAATTTCCTTTGACAGATGATGACTCTGTAGCTTACAATCTCAAACAGTTGTTTAGGATACATGTAATATATATTCACCATTTGAGTCAGTAGAACTCAACAAAAATTTATTCAGTGCCTGTTACATAATAGGCATTGTGCTAGGTACAGGGATACAAAAACAAAAGTGACACAGCCTAAGTTTCTAAAACTTAGATTCTACAGGGAGGATTCGACATATACCCAGAAAAATAAATGCAAAAGATACAAAATAATGAGAATGGGTGGGGCACTAAGAGAAAATAAAGATGAATCTCAAAACATTTAGTTAAGCCTTGGAAGGAGTGAGGGGTTCTAAGAGGCAACGGTGAAGAGGGAGAGCAACCCAAGACTGAAAGAAAATCTGTCCAAAGGTGCAGATGACAGGGATAGAATACTGAGTACAGCGAATGGTGAGTAGGCCAGCTTTTCAGAAATGCAGCACAGTGTGTGAGGAGTGTTATTTAATCAGCCTAGAAAGATAAGTTAAAGACAAAGTATGAAGGAATTTAAATGTCCAAGTCTTATTTTATCCATGAGGCAATAGGGAGTCAATGCAAATTCCTGAACAGGGCAGTGATGGGGTGATATTCAGAGATATCCATTTGGCAACTCTGTAAAGCATGAATGGCAAAAGGGAGGTAAGAAATACAGGGAGACCCAGCCAGTGGGAGGCTTTTTTAATAGTATAGATGAGATATGATCAAGACCAGAACTGAGGTAGTTGTGTTATGGGGGGAGGGAGAGAAGTATGGGGAAAGAGAAGCGGGGGAGGGGGGGGCGCAAAGGGAGAGAAAACAAACAATATATAATCAAGTATAATCAACACCTGACTATCAATCCATCTTCTGACACTATGTGACTGGACAAGGCCTTTAAAAGTTATATACCCCAAGCTATTTCTCTGAATTTATCAACTAAATATAGAAAGGTTTCTAACTACTGTAGGTAGAGGGAATTCCCTCATACACATCCTGAATTCTCCCAGACTGACTAAATTCGTATTTGCATGCAAAAAAAAAAAAAAACCACCCTAGAAGGTATATTAAACAACATGACTAAATATACAGACAAAATCCTGAGCTTTCCAAAGAAAAGAGAGATTATATAATAAGTTGACAAATGCCATAAAGTTGGCAGCTAAGGAGAGGGACTGTCTTCATAGTATGTGCATATATAACGTATGTTATTTATCTGGATTGATTAGAGAAGTAAGCACAATCTAAATTTAAGAAAATTCAGGTGGTTTTGAGTGATGTCTTAGTATTTTCCATCCCTACTCTATTTAGAAAGTTGAACTGATGTTGGTATCATACATAGAGTGTTCTGATAAATGTCTGATAAACCTCTCTTAAGTGATAAATATTCCTGCTTACAACTCACTTAACTCTTGGGCAGCTAGGTAGTGCTAGAGCACTAGCCCTGGAGTCAGGAGGACCTGAATTCAAATCTAGACTCAGACATTTACTATGTGGCCATGGGCAAGTCATTTAACCCTGTTTTGCCTCAGTTCCTTATCTGTAAAATGAGCTGGAGAAGGAAATGGCAAACCACTCCGATATGGTGATGTCACAGAGAGTCAGACATGATTCAACACCACCAAGATTCCGCTGGGAAACCAAGTTTTTCATTGTCATTTTTCTTCTAGGTATAGAGAACTGAACTGACATAGGTATTGACATAAAGAACATAGAATATTATATGATGAGCCTCTACAAGGAAGGCAATTTCATTGTTAAATTAACTATAAAATAACAATTATTGTGTTTAGGAGGCGTTTGCACTAAAACAAATACTTTCCCCCCCCACCCTGGTCAGTCATCCATCATAATGGAGGTTCTTGAAGATTTGGATTCAAATCCCAACTCACACACTTATTAGCTGAGTGACCCTTGGCAAGTAACACAACCTCTCTTATGCCTCAGTTTCCTCATCTGCAAATGAGAGGGTTGGGACTTGATGATCTCTGAAATCTATTCCATTTCTAAAACCATCATCTTATGACTCTGCTGGATCATAAGACTTCTAGGAAGAAGGTACCATCAAGTCCTCCTCCATCACTTAGAAGATGAAGAACCTGATTCCAACTTAGGTCTTAACCACCAATTCATGCGGCTTTTTCTACCTTTGTTTTACTCCAGAAACCCAAGAATTCTCTGCTTAGCTTTAAGCATCATCTTACTATTTTTTTACCTACACAATAGTGTCCTCTCTTCCCTCACCCTTTGACACATATAACACACACATCATCCACAAAAGAGAGCATTTTGTTAATTTTTTTTAGGTTAAAAAGTGAATCTAAGTTCTGTTTATTTGCATTTCATTTTAGGACATAGAACTCTAAAAATTAATAATTTGTCTAAAGTTCACAAGCATCAAAAATTGTTATCAAGATTTTGAAAGAAATGGGAAAATTGAAAAAAAATCAGTATATCAATCTTAAAGATAGAAAAAGAGTTACATTTAATTTTTAGAATATCATTTTTATCATTCTCCCTCATGACTCTCTCATATAAGGCAGAGTAGAACAATGGAAAGCACATTTGATTTGGAATCAGAGGACCTGGGTTCAAATCCCACCTCTATTACTAGCTATTTCTGTGGACTTGGGCACCTTGATTCACCTTTCTGGGCCTTAATGTGCTTTATCTGTAAAGTGAGGGGGTGGGGGTGGACAAGATTACCTCTGAGATGCCTTAGAATTCTCAGTGATCCTTTAAAAGAAAAGGGTAGAGATTGGATCTATGGTTCATGATTTAAGGAACTCCCAAATGAAGAAACTTTATCTACTAATGCAGGCTGGCACCTCCTCTGCAACTGAAAATCTCAGAGAAATGTCTAGAACAATAATAAATTAAGTGATTGCTCAAGGTCACACAGCCAATATGTTTCCAGGGTGGGATCTAAATGCAGGTCTCTCTGCCCCAGAGGTCAGCTCTCTATCTACTACATCATGCTGCCTTTCATAAAACCAATGAGTCATTTGGAATTTGCACTAAAGGAAGAAACTTGGGAGCCTTTGGATATATTATAGAAATTTCAATGTTTTTTTTTTCTTAATAATAAAGACGTACTAGATAATAGCATTTGGGCGTTTAAATAAACTCTCATCTAATTGTAATATTTAATTGTAATTTTTAATTTAATTGTAATATATTTGTTCTTAATGTCATTCAGTGGACAATCAGGAGACTGGTAATTATGTACAAAAGTCATGGGAAAAAAGTTTAATTTGTTTTTTAAAAGCTAATGAATAGATAGCAAAATCTGGCTTAAAGTTTTACAATGGCAGAAAGATTTTTTTAAACTACAAATTACGTCTTTTTAATTTTAAAATTCATTGTCATTAAGATTTCTGTATTAATAATCTATAGCTAACTTACCAGGTTATGGTCACATTCAGGTTTTCATTTGCCTTTTGTTTCCATTTTATAATAGCCAATTTGAAAGAGTAGCATGTAAATATAAGTGAATAAGAAATGGTATTTTTTTCTATTCTAAAAATGAGTGTTATTCTGACTTATGTAATCAAGTTTTATAACTCAAAGTTTTATGGTTTCACAAGTTGAAAGTCTTGAATGTTATTTAAACTTCAAATTACAGTGCTCTTTCCCCATGATGTTTTAAATGTTTATTTTCCAGAATATTTCATGTAGAAAAGCTTATGAACACCAACTTAATATTCATAATTGTTGATGGCAAGGGAACATGTCCTTGTGATACACGGGTACTAATCCAAGCAGAACAGACTTGTATCCTTAAGCAACAAGCAACAGACTTCAAACCATCTTGTATAGTTAGTTACTACGAGAGGAAGCACTATTGGTTATTTGTTTGTTTGTTTCAACTTTCATGTTAATTAGATTTGGTATGAAAAGGACCTGGATTCAGATCCTAGTCCTGCTACTCCTTTCAGACTGGTGTTCTTATGACTATGGGCCTCAATTTTTCTCATGTATAAAATGACAATGTCATTTAGATCATCTCTTTTAGCTCTGAATCCTGTTGGGGAAGACCAAGTTAGAGGAAGACCTGGATTCAGATCCCACCTAGACACTTAATAGCTATATGAATCTTAGCAAGTCAATCTCTTCTCTTAGCCTTAATTCCTTTTCTCTAAAATGAGTGGGTTAGAACTGATGACCTCTAAGGTCCCTTGCAACTCTAAATGATCCTGTCATTTGAACAGTTATTTTGTTGTTATTGTCAAGTTGTTTCAGACATGTCCAACTCTTCGTGACTCCATTTGGGGTTTTCTTGGCAAAGACACTGGAGTGGTTTGCCATTTCCTTCTTCAGCCCCTTTTACAGACAAGGAACTGAAGCAAACAGGGTGAAGTGATTTGCCCAAGGTCACACATCTGTGAGGCTGTGTCTGAGTGTCTAAGGCCAGATCTGAGTCTTCGTGGTTCCAAGTCCAGTGCTCTATCGACTGTGCCACTGAGCTGCCCCCTAACAATTACAGCCATCCAAAGAATGGAATGGCTTCATGAGACAATTAGTTGAACCATCACTGTGCATCTTCAAGCATCTCCAAGATATTCCAGATGTTATAGATAGAATTCTTCCTTTATAGTTTAGATCAGATGTATCAAACACTTGCCCTTCAGGTCAAATATGGCCCAAATCAGATTAAAATGAAACTGGGAAATATTTAAGAAGATAAATAAAAATACAATGAAACATAGATAATTTTATGTTTTAAAACTAAGTCAATATATGATCCCCAGGAATCCTTACATATGAATTAAGGGTCCCTATTTCTATTTGAATTTGCTACCACTAGTCTAGTTGATTTCTGAGATCTCTTCAAGCATTTAGAATTCTCTAATTATCATGCTGTATCATAAGGAATATCAATAGGTATTGGGATTTGAGGTAGAAAGGAAGATATAGTTATGAATATCCATCCCTTTGTCTCCTCCATTCTATGTTTTCTCTTCAAAAATGGTTGCTGGAATGAAAGCCAAACAAATAGGGAAGGTTTCTTTAGTTTCAGAATCTTTCCAAATGAATTAATATTTCCATAGCCATTTGATTTAAGGGGTTTTGTCACAGGTATAAAATAGATAGCATATGAATACTGATGAAAAGTTGTCTGAGTTCTCTATTTTTCTGATTTAGGTAAGACCGGTTAATTATTACTTCTGGCCACAAGGCGAGAATGAAAGCAGGTGTCACAGCCATAGGTTACAATTAAGCTGAGTAGGCCTGAACTGTTTATAGAGTCTTGCAACAAGATCGAGAGGACAAAGAATGAAATGAGTGGGTACAAAGTTGAAAGACAAATTGAGGGGGAAACACAATATCGGGAGGGGAGAGTACAAAGTTAGGAGACTGAATTGTGATTGGAACATCTTGAGAACAAATTTAGCCATTTGAATGAGTTTTTCATTGAATTTCTTCCCACAGATAACATACCCTCCCCCCGGAATACCATTTCCATAGTTTCTTAATATTAGCAAAATCCTAATCTATTGGGTGTGTGCATGGTGGTAGGGGGTGAGGGGTGGTATTAATTCACAATAAAAAAGAAAATTATTTTAAAAAATATTCATTTTGAGATATAAATGATATATGGATACATCCTACTCTACTGGCCTTCACAGTAATATAAAGCTCTTTGGAAACGCAACAAGCAAAGACAGGCCTAAGGTGCTATTTCCATATTACATATCACTGTACTTTGTAGCAGATAGAAGATGAACCAGGTAAAATTTGGATTAGACAGCTCAATTATGACTAAAACCATCTTCAAAAACCATTAGCTTTCACCTGACTAATACTTTCTTTCCTCGACCTACACATTTCCAGATTTACACCTCTTCTTGGACCCTATGATCTAGACAAACCTACTTACTACATATTCCTGACATGAAATATCCTCTATCTCCTCTCCATAACTTTTGACAGGCTGCAGTGTACTCCCCTGTTCACCTTTACCTCTTAAAATACCCAAATTTCCTTCTGAGTCTAGGCCCCACATGAGGCTTTTCCTGATCTTTCCTGTGTCTGGTGTTTTTTTCCAACTACTTTGTACATTTATTTTGTGTATAATTTGCATTATATGGATACATATTGTTCCCTCTGATAGTATGTAACCTACTTGAACACAGTGACTAGTTAGGATTGAGCTCTGAAATCCCAGCTGCCAGCACATAGTGCCCTGGAAATCATAGGTGTTTAATAAATGGTTGATGATGGGGGTGCAGCTAGGTGGCACAGTGTATAGAACACTCCTGAGTTCAAATCCAGCCTCAGACCAAACACTTGACACTTACTAGCTGTGTGACCTGGGCAAGTCACTTAACCCCAACTGCCTTTAAAATAAATAAATAAATAAATGGTTGATGATGGGACTGATTGATCCCCAGCATCTATATACTCACTATCACAGTTCCTTGGTGATTTTTTTTTTCTTTAAAAAATACATTTATAATGTTTCTGATCAACTATGTTTCTATTTCTTCGAAAAAAATACTTTCATTTTCCTTAACAAGATTTTTTTTTAGCTGATGGGCCAGATCCTTGTGATATGGTTAAGCAACCCAGATACAGAAAGGGACCTGATGTATGTTTCGATGACAATAAAATGGTAAGCTTAAGCTTACAAACTACTAAAATATTACAAGATAATGATCAGTAAATGCCAAGAATAAATGTGATGTTTTGAATTGTAATCCTTATTTTAGCTGAACTGTCTTAACCGTAATTTTTCTTATTGAACATGCTGTACTTGGTGAGAATGTTGACTTTTCATTTCAGTGTTCCATAGTTAACAAAAAATTAACACTTGCTTCTTTTATCTGCTTTTTCTATAAAAATTGTACTTTCATACACAAATCCTCCTAATTTGGTATTGATGAATCCAGGTTATAAATCTGATGGATGGTGACAGAAACTTCTTTTTCTACTTAACTAATGGCTCATAGAAAATGCCATTTTCTACCATGAACTATCATATTTTTGATAACTGAAAATATAAAAATGCTTTTATTTTTATCTCTTCTGTCTTATTTCAATATGTTTCTTAAAGAACTTTTATTAAGTTAACCTTATTAATATTTTTATCAAGTATAGATTTTTTTATATTACCCCAAATCTAAATATTGTTTAGTTTTTTGGTTGTTTTCTTGTTTTAGGGTTTTTTTTTTTGTAACTGTTATCTTTTAATATCTCTTACATTCTACGAAAAAAGGGCAGATGACCTACAGGAGAATAGTTGTCTTTGATTTTATTGGTAGTTAAATACTGCTAACCAGTAATGGCCACAATTGAAAAATCCCCTGCTTTGTAAAAATTATCTCCAATCACTGTGTTTATGTTAAGTTCATTGCAATTTGCAAAATGTAGGCCTGGTCTTGAATTCAGTAAGGACTATGTTTAAATTCTTCCTTTGACACATACTAGTATACAAATATGGGCAATTAACAACCTTTAATCCTCCCCTTATCCCAAGCAGCGCTTTAGGACTATAAGTTAAAGGTGATTTCCTGGCCTGTACTGGCGAAATAGATTCTGATGTACAAAACCAAATCCCCTCCCCCACAATATTGGATTCCCTCATTTTCCTGTTTTGTTTCAAGAAAATTCAGGGGTGTTTTTTTTTTGTTTGTTTGTTTTGAAAAATAGAAACCAAGTCAATATTTTTTTTTTAACATTTCTATTACCTTTCTTTCAAATTTGCTGTTCCCTGACTTTATCTAATGGTAGTTTTCTACTAAAATGAACATTTGGCACTAAACTGAAAACATAATCAAGTGAATCCTGGTCACAAACAATACAGCCAATAAAAGGCATATGATTACCTTTTCTTAGGAGCTCAAGTCATTTATTTGTTTTCATCTTATTGCCTCTATTAAGATATTTTTAAAGCTTCTATCTCTTTTTTGAGCCTCACAACAGTCCTATTAAGGGGTTCAATGTATTATTATTCCCATTTTACAGATAAGGAAACTGAAGCTGAGGGAGTTTAAGTGAATTGCCCAAGGTTGTACTGTAAGGAAGCATCAATGGCAGTAAAAGAATCCAAGTCTTACAAGCTTCAAGTCCTGTACTAGGAATCATAGCCTTTGCCTCTAGTTTACATCGTTTCTACATATGATTTATCCAGGGAATCCCAAATATTCCTATTGAAGATATTGTAATTCTTGTTTGGTAATTAGAGGCATGACTGAATGAGTTAGGCCACATTCTCACTGTTATACCACTAGAACTCTAGACCCCACATTTCACTTCACTACTAGGAGTTTTTACCTATACAAAATTACTTTCCAAAGCATGCTGAATGCTGGCTTAGGGATGCTACTCATTAAGGAGGCTTTACTCATCATGTCAGCAGCCATCTGCTTCCATCTGGATAAGGCCTCTGATTAAGTTACATTTTAGAACATCACTAAAACGCACCTCAGTGCATAAGAAAACACTGTTAAGAAAACAAATGGGGGGAAAAATTCTAAACCTATGAAATTCCATAATTTTATCATAAAAATTAGAAACATTTGGCTGAGACGAAGATTTCCAGAAATCCATGTCTAACAATTATGTTTAGGATTGTGTATGGAAATACAGCTCTTGCTCACTGGTTATATGTGTCAATGTGTCAGTGGTGCATTTCTTTAATAGTTAAATATTTTAATTTAGTTTATTTGCAATAGTCACTGTGAATTTGCTCTCCATGGATGCTCACTCTGCTAACCGCTAGCAAGTTGCATGGAATTTCATCTTGTATGTCTTTTTTTTCTGTGTTTTCTTTCCTTTTTCTGTACTTGCTACTTTGCCTGTCATTGATAGGATCAACTTATGTGTACAAGGAGTCATGCCACTACCACGATGTCAGCTCCTATCTTCATTTCACTGCAAGTTTTCATGTGGTGTGGATGGTCAGTTACTTTCTCTAATTTTTTGTTGTTGTTGTTCTTGGCTTAAGACTCTAGCAAATAATTTATGTCCCCCAAATCACAGTCTGAAAGGAGGCTTTTTAAAGTATCAATACAAATACCGTTTTGAAGACAACTTAGTTTCAACCATGAATGCTCCTGGGGGGAAAATAATTGGTGTTTTGTTTATGCACTTTAAGAAAATGATCCTTTTCATAATGCTTGGGGCTGGTATCCATGGACTTTCCATATAAAAATAGTATCTTGATCAAGCATTATCTAGAAGACCAGATAATCATCTGAGGAATAAACTGTGTAATCTTTACATTTCTATTAACATGGAAAAAACACTATTGGATAATGAATTTTTAACAGGAGTTTTCTAGAGAATATGCTAATAATGGCCTAAGCAAAAGTTCACATCTTTCTAGTGGTAGGTATGTTGCTTATCCAGCTCTTCATATTTTTCTTAACAAAACAATATTCTTGATGAAAAGTTGTTGTAGAGAAACCTCAGCTTCTTAAAGTTCATGTTTCCCCAACAACCATAAATATTACTGAACATATAAACTGAAGCCTTCTTTATGTACATCTAGTTTATAAAATACAGTGTACATCACTACCAGGCCTCCCAATTTTAGATATTTTAAGGCCCTGCTTGTGTGTTTAGCACTGTTTACTGGTTTGCCAAATCACTTGTGTCCAAAATTATGACCCTTGACCGAGTTAGACTGTCATTTTTGTTGTTGTTCCTGGAACAACAATGCTGTGTTATTTTTCCATTGCTGCTTATGAAAACTGTTTGTTTGGTATTTCATTTTGGTAAACCACTAGATGGAGATATGACCATTAACATGAAAACCGTGATCTCATCAGAAAGAAGTGGAATGGGGGTTAGAGGGTGGGGTGAAAGGGAAAAGGCTATTCAAAACATAAACAGAAAATGTCTGTATTGATGAAATAAAGTTTTAGTATTCAAACACTGAGCAGTGTAATAAACCCAGCTTTCCTTGATGCAAGATGGAATGAAGGATAAGTTGAGTTCTTTTTCTCTGGGAACTCTAAACATTTTTTAAGAAAAAACTTTGTTGCTATGATTAGGTACATAATTTCACAGATAATTTTAAATATGCCATATACAAAATACTTCTTTGCAAAGCCTTATTTCATCACTGCCACATTAATATCCCTTATCTTAAAGATGAAAAAAACTGAGAAACAAGTGATCTATGAGACAATAACAAAGTTGGTATTTATGATTAGAGGATGCATAATGAACATTTCAATAAGCTTAACCTTTTTACTTTTGTTCACATAATTAGTTTCTGCCATAATATTGGAATCTTTCTCAATACGATTTACACGTTTACTGCTAATTCACTTCTTGCCAAAGTCATCACAAAAGTTTCCCTGTTAAGTGTTGTCTTTAACAGCCCCGCTGGTTAGATATAAACACTAGTGAAAGAGGGAAAAAAAATACTTTGGGGTCCAAACAATATCAAATGGTTAGAAGTACTTATTTTAAAATCTGAGTTGATTGTCACTTTCTTGTCACAGAGACATTATAAAGTTCCTTTATTGATAGAGACATCACTTTCTACTCAAAATGACAACAAATAGCATAAGCCATCATCCTCATATTTATGAGACCACCTGTGCAGAGGATATGTGAAAGAGACTGTTCAGATTGCTAAGCCCTAGAGAAGATGGTAATGTGGGGAAAAATTGGCACATTTACACTATCAAAATTTTGTACTTTGCCCTACATGACATTCCTACATATAAAAAAATATTGTCCAGGTCATATGAATACATTTAATGGATTAGATTGCTTATGACATGAGAACAAAGGAAAATAACAGAAGGCTAAGGGGAAAGTTAACATAATGGTCCTTAAGCCAGTTTGATTAGTATAAAGATAGCTATGCTAACTGAAGATAGTCAAAGATGAAATAGGTAATATCTCAGTATATGAATGGATATAAGGAAAATTTAGCTGCCCATCAGGTTGCTGAACATAGTAATGGATTGCCCAGAAAAATTCTCTCAAACAGTACAGAGTTCTCATCATAGGCTCTCTCAGAAGTTAGAGATATAATCCTTACTGGAGACAGGTCACTTAACATGCCTACAAAGTTAACAGACTATGGAGCATATCTATAAAACTACATACTCACATGCCATATTTTGGACCTATAATTTCCTTGGTATAATGAATTCTTCATGAGGAAACTTCCTCTACTCATACAGAGCACCACCTGCTCTAGAATTTTATAGTCTTGGATCCTCAGGCACTGATAGGTTATGTGACTTTCTAAAAGTCACACAGCCATTATATGTCAAAGGCAAGATTTGAACCCAGGTCCACCTGACTGATAACAGCTCTCTACCCACTACTGAACACTTGCCCAATCATATGATTATAACTTTCACTAATCATTGTTCTTCAATTAGGTTTTACACCAAGATCTTTTGACCAAATCTAAAGGAGAAAGAAAAAAGATGAAAATAAAGGCTTATTTATAAAGCAATTTAGATAAACAGAGCAGAGCAAAAAACTATGTTACATAAAGTTCCTTAATACACTTAGACTGAATAAGTGAATATAATTAGCTATCAGCTACAGCTTTAGAGAAGTGGAAATAATAGCCTAGCCACATCGCTGAGTTATCACATTAAATTATGGGAGAATTTCCTCTGAAAACAAAGTATTTTCAAGTAGAACAAACAAGTCTGTTGCACAAATGAAACAGAAACTTTAAAAACAAATTTTTGGAAAAAAGGTGTCACATATGCAACTTCATGACTTGAGTGCGCTTTGGAAGAGAACTCTCTCCTTTGATTCTTGAAAAGATGATTGATCTCACACCGTACACCAAGTTAAGGTCAAAATGGGTGCATCATTTAGAAAAGATGATTAACAGTGGAAAGGATTATTGGAAAAGGCCTTATGTTTCCTTACCTCGAGAGTTTTACGTAGAAAATGATTCTGAAACTGTCTGGGATAATTCAAATACATTACCTGCCTACTTTTCAAACTATATTTAAATCATATCAAGAAGATGTAACATTGAAGAGAAAATGCATTAAAAAGAATAAAATAATTTATTCTCAGAATGACCCTTTAAATAATCCTTGGGGAAATCTAATGATCCTTTTTTTTAGCTGAGGCCAAGAAAAGAAGGATTTAGCCATCTATATAAATGAGCTCATAAAATAAACCTTTGGAAAAAATATATGGATACAGCTATGAACTACATGTTTTTCTTTTGGGACATGGAGGCAAGAGTACCGAGGTGTGCTCTATAATAAAGACTGACATGTAGAATCTTCAGAGACAAGTTCAGAGGAAATTCCAGAAGTGTTGTTCTTCTCCCCAGAGAGGAAGGACTAATAAAATTATTTTTCCCCTATTATTGGCAAGATAAATAGAAAGAGAGGTGGTTTGTGGGGCACTTGCTTTTTAAAATTTTAGACTGTTGCAATGAAGTCAGTTAACACAAGGGGTTTTGGTATTTCCTGCCTCAGTCATCTCTTCAAATGGAGAGATCTGCCTGGTGAAGGTATAAGTGTTCTGCATGGGTGAGACTCAGTGACAGACTTTATAACCTCTAAGGGCCCCTTCCAGGTCTACACATCTATGATTTAATGTGTTTTGCTCACTCCTCCCACTAAAACAGTACATGTCAGGTAATAATTGCTGATCTCAGTACATGTTGTCATAATGTGCACGACGCACAGGAAAATACCTCCAGGAAACTCAGTAGACAGATGTCTTGGTATGAATCAACATATAAGTCACAGAACCTTAAAGGGGAACTTAACTAAAATACGGACTCCTAAACCAAAACAGTAAGAGTTCAGACTATCCCAGATTTAGGGCTAGAAGACAATTTAGATCTCATTTAGTCCAATCTCCCCATTTTGTGGATGGGGAAACTCCGGCCCAGAGAGGTTAAAATAAATAGAAGTATCTAGTGAAAAAGCTAGCATTTGAACTCAGGTCATCTTGACTCAAAATATAGTATGTTTTCCATGACACCATGCTGCCTCATCATATTTATGCACAACATACAGTGTAAAGAAAGTATGGTATAGTATGAAATATAGTATAAAGAAAGAATCCCTCTTTAAGACCAAAATGCAAGAATATTAACATGCAGATTTTTTCATCATACAAATGTAAATTCTTGTATAAAATATAACACATCAGTTGAATGGGTCATCTTGACCACAGAATTCCTCACGTATTGACCAAACTTCTAGTGTTGATTATATCCATGCATAACTAAGGCAGTTAACATTTAGGAGACAATCTGACATTAAAAGCCATCATCAAAGACTTTTCTGCTTAACCAAGCCTAGCCACATCATTCATTGAGTAATTACACTAAATTATGGGAAAATTATCTCTGAAAACACTTGATTGAAAACACCGAGTCACCTTTACATGGTGATGGTGAGCAAAGGAGCAGGTCATCTATGCAAGAATAATAATAATAGCTTACATTTAAGCTATGTTACGAATTTCAAAGTGCTTTCCAGACATTTTTCTGGTATTATAAGTTAGTGAACACTAGTAAGCTAATAACTTATTCAGTAGAATCAAACATGGTAATGCTGGTCTGAGAGTTGATTTTTTCCACTCTCTACAATCGACCTAACATAACAGCATACTAGGTCTATGTAATATTGGGGTTATTTGTTATTTTTCTGATTATTCTTATAGTCAACCAAAAACTTTGGACCTGAGAGTCTAAGCGGTCTCATATTTGAAGCAACTTGTAGGAAAAAACAAACATGAGAAATTTTGAAGCCTCTTAAAAAGGTATCACCTTAAAATGTTAAGAATTATTTCACTGACATAAAGGAGTATATTGTGGATAATTTAAATTTTCTACGTGGATCAGGACTCCAGGTAGGTTTCAGAGTTAAAGGATTCTGAAAACTCAGAAATTCTTTTCAGTATCCCAAACCTAAAATTATGCAGTAAACTAACTGTTGAGTCTTGGAAAACATAACAGTTTGAATAAAATGTATTTATAAAGAGGAGTCCAATGTGGGGGGAAAAATATGGGGAAAGACTAGTCAGGATTTAATACCTTAGAGGATATATTGGGTGATTTGTGAGGTTCTGCAGCTTTAAGGGAACATGGAAATAATCTAGAACAGTTTAAAGATGTTGAAATATAGAACCCAGACAACAAATTTAAAGGATAATTTGCTTTTAGCTGTGGCAGGATGAAGATTACTAGCCTTCAAGATAGTCAGAAAGCAAATGTTCACCAGTGGCAGATAGTGTTGGAATGTATATACTATGTGAGTTTTTTCTCTCAGGATTCATGAGTCAAATTCTTTCACTTTCATGTTTTATTTTTCTATGAAATTCTATGATTATTTTTAATGAAAGGAATCCTTTGTATGGGGCATTCATGTATGGAACATTCACCTTGATAATTGGTAATTGTTACTGGGCATACAGTTTTCAAAGGAATAATTTCTTTGACCATTTTCAAAAATTTGCAAATCACAGTTGATACTAATTTTTTTTAACACATCAGGTTCAAACGTTTTGTACTGGGGCACTATTTGAGGGACTTCTTTGCTGTTGTTTGCATATTTCTGTACAAGTTTGCTGTGTTATTCCTGATCCTGAGATCACTGCTGTTCCTATTCTTTCTCCTACTCTTCCTGTTCTGACTACTAGCTGATGCTTATAAAGTACTACCATGTTGACAGTAATGCTTTCTATACTTTATCTCATGTTAACATGAATTCAAGCACCCTCCACTAAAATTTAACTCAACAGGACAACCAATGCTAAGGTCATAATCATTTTTATTTAGTTATCACAATCATCAACTGACAATTTGAGGGCAAGGGGTGATAGTCACTATAACTTTGTAAAATAATGTCATAATTTAATAATGCTCAAGGAATGTAATTAATTTCAATTACATATGAAGCAATTCTTTAAGGTGTTTCAAGATGTGGGTAAGAATTAGCATACTATTGAGACTGTCTCTATAAATATTTTAAAGGAAATTAATTTGTCTTTTTTTTTCCCCAATAGGAAGATTATTCAGATTGTGGTGGGGTTTCTGGATTGAACCCGTCGTTGTGGTCTATGATAGGAATCCAGTTTGCACTGCTTTGGCTGTTATCTGGCAGTAGATACTGCCAGTTATGACCTTATGAAACCAAAATCTGTATAACTGATCTCAAGACCCTGCCAAAACATGAGCCCTGTTTAATTACAAAAGGGTCAATTATTCAGACAGCAGAAAATCAGCTGTTCTCAAAACAACATGGTAAAACTCTATGTGAAAGACTCATTAGGCCCCCACAGTGGCTGCATGTTGGAGTGTCAGACCCTTGAACTTGTGTGAATGCTGCATCATCTATGCTGTCATAGCAAAATCCTATGTGTACTTTACTGAGGAATCTGATATTTTTGTTGCTGTTGGATCATTGATGACTTCATGTAAAAGGGCTCCTCCTTTAAAATGGCTTCTTGATCATATCAGTTCTCTATATTTTGACCTGCGTATCGACTCATTTTGCTCCCTTTTATTTTATCAAGATTTCCAGGAATCACTTTTATTTTGCTTTGATATTTGACTCTTAAAGTTTGAACATCAGTTGTATTGAAAACAAAATCAGAGATGAATTCTAAATGGCCAAATGATGTAAATATTAATATTGGCTAGTCTTTGTCAAAAGTTCACCATGAATGAAATGCCTTATGAAGAGTGGCTTATTCTGCCAAAAATACATTTAAAAAATGGGTGACCAGCTAAGTTGGGGGGAGGGGGGAGTTAGTAGGTTTTAAACTGTTGGTTTAAGTATAACAACAATCAAATTACTGAAATAAAGGTGCTTGAGGGTTAGTTGTTTTAACCATCTAACATATCTTCTTGATAAATATCATCCCTTTAAAAAGAACAGTTCAAATTAATGTTCCCTCTGTTCACAGTACAGTTGTGAAATGCTAGCCAAATCTTTCAAAGTCCTCTAAGAGATGGTAGGGATGATGGATGGGATGGGAAAGGAAAAATCTTTTTTGTGATCATTGAACTTTGGCTACCAAGGGTATTTTGCATGATGCTGCTGCAATTTTTTTTTTGTTGGTTTGTTTCTTTTCTTCAGTTGTAGAGTGTAGTCTATTTTTAAGGTAACTGAGTGGTATTATTGTTAAGAGAAACTGAAATTTGCAGTTATAGTGCACTTAAATAATCTTACATGATCTGGTTAAATAAAGATATCTGAATATACTGTGAAATGAAAATGTTGAAAGACTGGACTGCAGTGAGGAATATGGAGAAATGGAATTTTATACAGACTAGTGCTTTTGCCTGAAAACCTGTGTACAGATATTTTAAGTATATAAATCAGATTTGACATTTATTTTTAAAGAGCACATATATGTTCTAAATGAAGATTCATGCCAGGTTTCCTCTCTGTTCAATTAAATGTTAGCACCTGCAAGTTTTAAAAAGTTCTCTTGCTATTTTTCATTAAAAATGGCCAGGTCAACTCAACAAAATTTCCACCCAGTTCAATAAGATATTACAGTAATCTGAACAAACAGGAAACCTTGAATCTGTATGTATGCACATTAATACTTGATTGTGAATAATAAAGACTGCTTTTTTTATACAATTTCATTGGTGAAACCAATTGGTGCAGGAAATCATGATATTGCACTATAGTATAGTATAGAGATAGAACAGTGTGCTTGTTTCTGGTTTTCAAAACTAAACAGTATTGTGAGAGATAAATCGATGAATGTACAACTCTGGTGATCTATAATTTAGCTAAAAGCTACAACCTGCAAATGTTTATTATGTAAAATGCATTAGTTCATAAAAGCAAAAAAAATACCGTGCAAAATATCCGTATGTGTGTATACGTATACATATATGTTTATATATATATTGGAAATGCATTCCTGTATAATGGTTGTTTGTTTTTTTTAATCTCAAAATTTTACTGAAGTTGTCCAGCACGTTTGACTATCATATTACATATCAAAAAGCAAAACCAACCCCATGGCATGGCTTAAAAGTGTTTTTTTTTTTCTTTTTTTTTGTTGCGTCCAATATCATTTCTGACTCTCCTATATACCCTTGGTTCCAATTGTGTCTTTTCCCTTATTTATTTATTTATTTATTTTATCAGAAAAGGGAAACTTCCAGCTTTGGTTGTCACAACTGACATTAATTTATACTTCTAATTAATCATTTTAATAGTGGTGGGCCCATTTATACCTGGGTGTAACAATAAAGTTTTACCTTCCTCACCTTAATGACAGCAATGCTGATTAAACACACACACACACACACACACACACACACGCACTTCACCATCACCACAAAAAAAGGAAGTCCCACCAAAGTGAAAAATATTTGAAATGTTATATTCTAGGTAGAATTGATTATTCAAATGTTTTAAATATACTTTATGATTGACTCTAAAACCCTCAGGTAAAAATAATTTGTTTTGCTATTGATTTTCTTGTTTGGAGAATGTCAAAATCCAAATGCTAAACCAACATGCGTAAACTATTTAAGTTATTGAATCTTTGCTCAACTTTGTCAAGTCAGTGGCAAGTTTCAATGTTGGGAAATTATAGCAAGGACTCCCCTAGATGATATATTTAAATAATAAATATTTAAATTATGTAATTACTTCCAACATAGAATACTCTCTTGAAAAACATTTTAAAATACCATTTTCAGTGAGTAATTGAATCTTTTTCATGGGATTCAATCTTTATTAAACTAATTACAATTAAACTTGGTATCCTATTCCATTTCTATTGGCATAAAAACGTTTTAGTGCATGAACAGCTCATTTCTGTTAGGAAAAAAAAAGTATATAATCTGTAAACCACATGCATGATGATAAATTTCATAAGCAAAGTTTCTCTGACTGAAAAACGTCCTTGTGACTGCTGTTAGTTTTACATCTCCTAGCATACTTTTCTAAGGGGAAAAAAAAAAACCCATTCCTTCAAATTACATGTGAAGTTGATATTTTCCTGTGAGTTTTGACTGTTGGCGATGATTTAATAGATGTATACTATCAATATTTGTTTCCAAAGTATTTAGAAAACACCAAAAGATGAAGAAAAGCTTTGAATATATTTACACCTTAGTCATGCAACATCCTGTAGATTCTTCACTAAACCCAAATTAAAACAATCCTTGCATTGGTGGTAAGTAATCAGTAAAGAATTTAACATTAATGGCTCCTTTCTAGTTTTTTCATTTGAACAACCAGCATTACTGCCAAAACACCAATCGTGGTCCATATTTGTAACAGGTTTTTAACATGACAGTTAGCAAGTTTGACTGAAGAGATTTTTAGGTCCTGGACTTATGAGATTTTAGTATGACCTTTTTCATGTTTCTAATGCTTGAGGCTTTATTGCTTAACTTGGAGAAAAAAAAAACACCACAGTGTTGCTGCCATTTGTAAGTTTTCGTATAATATTCCTTTTGTTAACTCTAAACTGGCCTTACTGGATTCAAATAGGCAGTATCCCTTTTAAGTGACCTTTGCAACCCAAGTGTTACTTGCTGTTTGATGCTTTCAGTATGTTATAAACAACATTCAAACTTTTGTCCCCTTACACCAAAGCTTAACTTTTGTCTTAATATCAAATTTTTACCCATTGGTCCTGTGAGTTAAGAAGCTCAACTTGCTAGAATTATAGAGAACTGACATAGTGGACCACTAAAGAATGTCTGTGATGCTTTTAAAAAGTACACTAGAAGGACTAGCAACCCGAGTTTGCTCCCACCTCCATACTCTATTAAGTGCCGAAATAAAGGCCAAGCTTTATTTTTACCCCAATATTAGAACGTTAATATTGTTAATAGTCAGTGTACACTACTACAAAGACAAAAGTGTCCAAAAATCAAATCCAGAGTTCCAACAGCATTAACTTACTCTAAACGAGGACTTAGATTTGCATTGTTTCTTGTTCAAATAGTCATCTCAAACCAATTTCACTGAGGCTTAAGGAATATACTGTCTTGTTTAGACGCCAACTGAACTTACAATGTGACCTGACTAATCTGTCTTCTCTGTTGTATTCTATGGAATGTCTGGATTATGCTTTTGGGGATGTTTTTATTGAAATGCTCAGTGTGCATCCATTTAAAAAAAAAAGGCCCTGGTTTGCTCTTGCTGGGCAACAGGCCTTTTCTCCCTTTTATTGTGTTCTCTTGACACTTTTGTGGAACTTGACAAGCCTGAAAAAAAAATTTTGTAAAAATTTGTATAATACTATTATAAAAAGTTTATAATCCTAGAAAATGTTGTGTTAAATCTTGTGCAAAAAACAGTATATTCAGAATAAAATTTATCATTTGAAACCACTATACAGCATGAATTCATTAATCATGTATGTGATTTGTTGGTGGGGAGATGGAGCTCTCATCTTGAGTCTTTTGGACCACTTAAAGAGAGCTCCACACTACAAAAGTATATAAATACATATGGATATATAGATACAGACATATCTATATGCATAGACATACTCACATATACAGTCATATAAATGTATTTATATTAGTATATATTATGCACAAACATATACATATATACATACATACATGCATACACCTATGTGCATACAGTATCTTTGCCAAGAAAACTCCAAATGGGGTCATGGAAAGTCAGACACGATGGAAAACGACTCAGTAACGACACACCCACACACATATATATAGACCCGTTAGCACATATACATGTACATATATACTGGGGAAATCTCTACTTGTTTTACTCTTATTCCTCATATGTGTATATGCGAGCTCCAAATTTACTTATTAACACACTGAGCTGTGTTATGAAAAAGAAAAAGGCAGAAATCATGGGCCAGTGCTTTGTGGAACTCAAAAAAATTATGAACAGTAACCAGTTTTATAGTTTTAAGTAAAATTTTGCAGGTTCAGAAGTGTACACCTCACCAAAATTCCTCTGTAACACTCTCCTCCTCTAGTTCTATTTTATTTTTATTCTTATTTTATTTCTTCTTCCTAGAATAACAGCTTACACCTGCCCTAGCTTTGTTCTCTAGAGTATTACTGAGTTTGACACTTTCAATTCAGGTAATCTAAGCTTTCTTCTCGCTTGCTTCAGGAGGATTCCCATGTAACAGCATTAGTGCCCTACACATAAACATAAACATCATTCTTAAAGGGCAAATAAAAGGTTGATCATTAGCGTAACCATTATTATCATCACCATTGTTATTGTTTTCATAGTAGATAGTCAAGAAGTTATTGAACATGACTTGGAAACCTGGCACATAATTTCTGACCAAGGGATTTTTAATAAATTTCCTAAGTTAAAATTGTGAAATAAGTCTTTGGCAAACACAGACTCCCTGCTTTGCATTCTTCTCTCACTTAAAGGGATTCCTTTCTCATCTTTTCAGTATCTTCTGTCATTGTTTTAGTCCCAACCCCAGTCATGTTTTTGGGAGGGGGAAGCTTCTTGCTTCATCAGTTACCTCTTCCCACTTATTTCCAACTCTTCCTCTCTACAGCTGTCTTCCACTAATTTGTAAACATTCTCGAGTTTCAGTGTGTCCATTTAAAAAAAAAACACATTTCTTTGATCATGCTACTTCCTGTACCCCAAGCTAGATAGTTTCCATTCCATCTCCTTCCTCTCACAACAGAACTTGGACAGAATGCCTCACAAGCACTGCCCCTCCCAACACCCACTCTCCCAATTCCTTCAAATCCAGCTCTTCTTCCCATCACACTTACAAATACACTGTGATATCACCAGTGGCCAACTAGTACCCAAACTTAATGTCTCTCCCTCTCACTCTAAAATTGCCCTTAAACTTTTATTTCTCCATGGTTTTGTGCTACTGATTGACTCCTCTTTGAAACTTCTCCCGTGATTCTGTGTCACCACAACAGCCTGTCTCACCTGCTCTTCAACTGCTCCCACTTCCATTCACTGGCTCTTTTTTAATTTTCTTCCTCTCACCTGATGAATATTGATGATGAATAATGGCATTCATCATTCTGGCCTAGTCTGTCTTCCTACATTTTCTCCCTCAGGGTTTCAACTAGTACCTCTAGTAAAAAGACTCAGAAATTGCATCTACCCTTAACTCCTTTCTAGAGCCCCATACTATATTTCCAACTGCTTACTGGCTGTATTACCAACTTATTGCTGGTACCTCAGATTCAATATGTCTAAAACTGATTTTGCTCTGTCTTGTGCCAGCTCTCCCCTAGCTTTTCCTTAAAACTGAATTTCCTATGTAGGTTAGTTATCTACTTTCACCTAGTCATACAAGTTCAGAATTTGAGTCACATTCATCACGTCTTTTCCATTCCCACCATTATTTCGATCTTTTATTATTTATTATTATATATTATTATGTTATATATTATTATTATATTTATTCCACCCCTAGATTACTTCTAGGTTCCCTGGATTCAGTCTCTTCCTTCTCAAATACCTCCCACACACTGGGTCCTGGTTAAGCTTCTTCAAGCATCATTTGGATCAATTCAGTCATTTCCCATCAAAAACATGTAGTGCAAAGTCCAAACTCCTTAAAATGTCATTTCAAGATCTCTACAATCTGTCGTCTATCCCACTCTTCCTCAATATGAGGTCCATACCTCAGCCCATTTGGACTGTCTGTGGATTACATACTTAACTTTCTTGCCTTGAAAATCTTGCTCTAAATGCTTAAGTGTGACCCAGCGGGAGGCCAAGCAGAGAGACTTGCAGCATTCTTTGATGAAAGCTGCAGTCACCGTTGTTTCCCTCCAAAGACCAGCCTAGCTAAATGGAGAGGCACAGAACTAGTAGCCTGGCCACTAGATCACTGATGCGTTGGCTTTGACAACCCATCCATAAGCTCATCTTTTTC